CTCTTTTCCAATCTGAATTTAGTTCTTGTTGCTGTCTAATTGCTCTAGTTTAAATCTAGTACTAGATTAAACAAGGAAGTGGAGTCAGTGGGCAACTTTGCCTTTGGCCTGATTTTTAAGGGAAAGTTTTCAGTTTTTCACTGTCAAGTATAATATTGGCTATAGGTTTGTGATGTGACTGTTATTACATTGAAGTAAGTTCTTTCTATCCCATCTTGTTATTTTTTTAATCCTAAATTCTTTGCTCTATCTTGTAAAATGCTTTTTCTGCATTTATTGATATTATATGGTTTTATTTTTTTAAAATATATTGAACATTTATTATTGCAAACCCTTAAATATTTAACTTCTTTATATTTATATTTCAGTCCTATGTGGGAAAAAGATAAGATACAGCTATCAGCAAGTTATTATAAAGTTTCATTCCTTATTACCAAAATCAAAATATCTTTATTTCAAGTATAATTATGTCTCACAGATAAATTTTCAACAACTATATGGATTATCATTTTTCCTCAAATTTTAATAATTTGTCAGCTGTTCACATACGGTATAATTGGGGGGTATATTTTCACAATTTCATGTATACATATACCTCACTCATCCTTGACCAAAACAACTCTCCCCTATTCCTGTACCCTTGCTTCCCCATTCCCTCTGACTACCTTTTCCTTATTCATACTGATAACCAGATATTTTCACCTGAATTATCTCTGCTTCCTAGATCTCCCACCTTATTTCTACGTGTATACTTCTGTGCCAGAATTCAGTGCCACTGAAAAAAATAATAACAGCTGCTGTTTTATTACCAGTGACTCAATGGAAAATTAGCTAAAAAATTTTTCTATCATCTATAGGAAAATTACCATATTTTTCATAATATACACATCTCAAGTTAAAGAGCAGCCTTTCCTTGCTATGATTCCAGTGTCACCACTGTCGAACCTCCTGCAGTCTTTATGTCCTCCATTTTATTTATTTATTTATTTATTTTGAAGACAAGAAAAGGAGATTTATTGAAAATGCAGCTTTAGGTTTTCTTTCTTTTTTTTTTTTAGTTATTAGCTTTATTTTTTTTAATTTAAATTTTATCTTTATAGTCCCCATACAATTACAACCCCCTTATTTTGACCCCAAGCCCTCCTTTCCCCGCCTCCCCACCCCCCATAGAGTGTCTCTGGTTCATAGTTGTTGATTTTGATATTTTCTTTCTTATAGTTATTCTTTTTCCTGGTCCCTTATTTAAGTTTTCTAGATTCCTGATTATATGGTTTTAAATTCTTTTGTTGATGTATTACATTGATTGTTTATGTTAAACCCTTGCCATCCCTGGATTAAACCCTGGTTGTTTACTTGGTTGCATATGACCCTTGGTGATGTATTGTTGAATTCAATTTGCTAGCATTTGGGGGAGATTTTTTTACTTGGCTTCCATAATTGCGATTGGTGTATTCACATTTTCTGCTTCTCTTTGGTTCAGTTTTGGAAGACTGTATTGTTTGAAAAATGTATCTATTTCTTCAAGATTATCGACTCTAATTTCCCCAGTTATTTCAGTTTTCTTCCTTGTTTGCGTAGCTAAAGGTTTATCAATTTTTTAAATTTTCTCAATGCACCGACTCTTAGCTCAAGAAAGGTAGTGTTCCCCATAAATTGTATGGGGAATATAAAAATAAAATTTATTAATTAAAAAAATAAATAAATAAATAAATAAAAAAAAAAAAAAAAAAAAAAGAAAGGTAGTGTTAGGCCCTACCCCAGACCTGCTGAATCAGAAACTCTGGGGGTGGAAACCAGTAATCAAAGTTTTCACATGCCCTTCAGAGGAAGCGGTTGCCATTCTGTGGTCAGAAACCTCTGTCCTAAACTTAAGTATATGCAATTGTTGATTTAGAGGCCAACAATCTAAACATTGGTTTTCAACCCTGGGCACACATTTACATCACCTGTGAAATGTTTAAAAAAAGAAAAAATCAACACATGGATCCGTCTTCTACTCTTCCCTCCACCTCCCCTGTATAATTGGTCTAGTGTGCAGTCTGGGTGTTTGGATTTTCCAAAGTTCCCCTGGACCATCCTCAATTGTAGCCAAGCTTGGGAACCACTGATTTAAATAAATATGGAGACAAATATATTGTAACTGAAGGATTGAGTAAAAATCCAAAAATTAGAGACACACTGACAAAGAATCAAAAAAGGCTATTGTCAGTGATTAAACTGTAAAAATAGAAGTATAAGGGAAGAGACCATTTAGGGTAAACACTCTCACAATTTATATTGGACTGGAAAGGGCATTATCTCCTTTGGGAACAAACATATATTGATGGTTTCTGAATCGCTGTGGGTTAGCGTTCTTTGAAAAGTATTGCTTCAAAACACAGTTCACTAAGTTACAAAACACTTGTAATCTGATGTACATTTTATTGTCCTTTTCTGTGATTCGGGTAAGAGGGAGTAAGCAAAATAAGCCTGAGTTGTAAGAGAGAGCCTGAAGTAAGGGACACATAAAGCTTTTACTCAAGTGCAATAAGCTATCTTGATTTGGACTGAGAAATATAAAACCAAGTTAGGCAAGAACCAAATTCTCAATTTAAATTGCACTAGGCCATTCTCTGGACTTTCTTTTAAAGGTAGACTACCCCAAAGATTCGGGGAGGTATAGTAACACTCAAAAATGTACTTATCTTTCAAAGGAGACTTTCTAACCCAGTATTTGTGTGGTTGTTAAAACATAATTTAGGTTATGAAGTCCTATCCTGCAGCTTCGGTGGAGGTTCACTGCTTGTACCTACCTATTGTTAATTGCTCATATGTAAGAAACTCATGATAAATCACCCGGGCTTTCTTCGACACCTAACAGAATAGGGTCCTGTTTTTACTATGAAACTTCTGAATAGTTTCTGGTAAGAAAAACAGTTTAATCGAGATGCTAATAGTTGTGGAACTAAACTATATGGAAATAGTAAAGTAAATTCAGGAACTGTTACTTCTAGTTGAGCTTGGGCTGTGGGTAAATCAGCTCAAATTAAATTCAAATTTTATTGGCACCAGGCACTATCCCCAGATTCTGATATGGCCAACCTGGGGTGGTGTTCAGAAGTCATAGATTTAAACAAGCACCCCAAGCGATTCTGACCCAGGTGGATGATACTGGTTTCAAAAATAAATGGGTTTCTTTTATGTGTGGTTTTGCTTCATATTTTTCTCTACTTGCATTTGTCTGTGACTCTACCAGGCTTATTTCTTTATTTGGCTTATAGGAAAATGTTTCTCAGTTCACTATGACTTAATAGCTAACTACAAAGACCTCTTTCTTATTCTATTTAAAATTTCCCCTTAATTTCTCATTCCCTTCCCAACCCTGACTCCAAGTGTAGAAATGGTAGGCTACAGAGTGTCAACAATGACACTAACTCCCTAATACTGATGGCACTTCCTACATGCGAGTCCTGCTCTACAGGTGTGAGATACAGAAGCTGAGTTTAGTTTTCACAGAGCTGAGTTAGGTTCTGTGCACATTTTATACATGGAAATTGAGAAACAAGGTTAAGTCACTTGCTCAAGGTCATGTAATTGGTATGTGACAGGACTGGATCTGAACCCAATTTCTATAAACTGTCTATTCATGTCCTTCAGCATATTTTTCTATTGAATATATTTTCCTAGTGATTTCCAAAAATTTCTGGTATATTCTTAATATCCCTTTGTTTTATAAATTCCAAATGTATTTTCTCAATTTGCCTATCCTATTTGTAGCTATTTGTAGCTAATCTGCTCCCAATCAAATCACACTGGACAAATCACTAGAACCAGGTAAGGGAACAGAAAGATACATATAACCAATAGTATCTTACACACAAGTAGTAACCAAGGAGGAAATGCAACAGAAAAAAGGTCACACTCATAGTAGAAATAAAAACTAGTTAACCCAGGAATAAACTGATACGAGATGTCTGAGACCAGTAGAAAGAGGAGCATTGTAATTAATGAAGGACATTAAAAACCCTAAATAAATGGAGAGGCATTGCATAGAAAAGAGACGTAAACTTTTAAAATCTGTTAATTCTCAAGCTAATCGACACACACACTTGTCTTAGACACACTCATCCTAGAATTCAGAGGGAAGACAAAAGCCTCAAGAACAGCAAAGGTAAATTTGAAGAACAATGTAATTACCTCAACAGAGATCAAGATTAGATAGCTATGTAGTAATGAAGACCACATGGTACTGGCTCCGGGACAAACAGTTGAGACAGAAAAGGATCCCAGACACTTATCATGCACACATGGAAAACTGATGTAAGCCAGAGGTGTCACTGTGTGAGTTGAAGACAAGTTGAGCCCATCAGAGAATTCATTTTTTTTTTTTTTACTTCAGTGCAAGGACACTGAAGACGTGACAAAATTGTTGAAAAATGAATTACAGATTGCCAAAACACTGGGCATTCAGTCCTTTAGGGGGGTTCCAAGGGAACCCTACAGGCAACAAACTCATTTGGAATTCTTAGGGCATAACTCACACCTTTACCAGACTTACAGGAGCATGGACACAGCTACTTCTGTATTTCTTCCAATTTAGGGCTCCATAGGCTGGCAGCTGGGCTGTGTTTTCAGAAATGTAAACTGTGAAAATGTCATGTCTTAGTATCTATGAAATGCACGACTAGCAAAGGCGGCCTCTTTGGGGACTGCTTAAATGAGATCACATACTTGGAGTGCGGAGATGGAGTTGGAAATACACCCTTGCCTGTCCTTTCCCCAAGATCTCATCATCTGTCCACAGGCCAGGGCGTATCTTTCCTTGATCTGGGATAGAGAAGAGCAGCTGAGAAGCCTCCCTGGGCCAACAAAGACCCGGGTCGACTATTTTAGAAAGAGGAAAAAATAAAGTTAGAGAGTTCGTTTTTTAAAAGTTAATGAGAAAATGCATGTTAAAAGTTAACAATAAAAACATAAATAAGCTAACAAATTATCCTCACACAACCTATATTTTAAGTAATTTATTTCAATAGAAATATTTCAGAAAACTTAAATTCATTTTAAGTTAGCTTATGCAAACACACTGAAGATCTCACACTCACATTTGTATATTAAACAGAAATAAAAAGTGAGAGAGGGACCAAGCTGCACATCACTCAAGGAGGTCATAGTGCAACCGAGTGCTTCATCATCAGAGTACCGCAAGTTAGCTGGGATAAAGCAGAATAAAAAATGGCTTGTGTTTTCCGGTTTATTTCCATCATTGTGATGTTTATCCCCACAGATGCTCCTCTTTCAGATTCCATTATGAACCAGTTTGCCACTCCTAAGCCCCACCCCCAACCCCACCACTTTGGTCGACTGTAAAACTGTACAAACTCTTGAGTCTGGTGACTCAACCCCTCTGTCATGCCTAGTCAGTCAGTAACTGCTAGATTGTATTTGTGAGGGGTCTGACAGGTGATATCTTTAAGGGGAACTTAGTATTTGTTGCCTTAGTATTTGAAGCACGAAGCACAGCTGATATTTATTAAAATTTCTGCTTGTGGCTCAAAAAAAAGCCCAAAGCATTCCTTTAATCCCATTATCACTTTGCAGTCCAAATGACTAGATCCAAAATTCGAGTTCAGCTAATGACCTTCAAGGACCAGTTAACCCTTCATTTGGCTTTAAAGACTACTCGCCTATTCTGGAACATATTAACCCTTAAAAAAATGGGAAAATATCATTTTCACTCAGTAAACAAAGAAGCTCCAGATCTTACAATAATCTCAGGGAGCAGAATATTTCAAGCTGTGCTTTTGCTGAGAAAGCTAGTTTAGTCTCTTCCCTTTAATTTATATATTGGTGTTTTCACTTTCCTGCCATAATATTTCCAAGGAAACAATAACTGGTATTTGTAAGTGACTGCTTGTTTGTTCTGAGTCTTATTTAAGTATAATAAACCAAACTAAATCTCATTTCTGGCCAAAGGGACTGTCTTTATAAGATTTCAGTAGCTTAAATAAACCAAAACCCAAACAAAACTTTCCCACTGCATCAAAGTCTTTTAGGGATTTTCTACGAGGCTTTATAATTAAATCCTGTGCTTAAAACAACGAAATAAAAATGACTCAGTTGGGTTCTTGATGATCGTTCCTAAGAGCGCTCATCTGAAGGTTTTGGGTGGGCTTATTTTTAATCTCCAACCCTGGAAGGGGTGGTACAGGAGGGAGCTTGTCTAAAAAGACTCAAAACCAGTGAGGACTGCACCATTGCCTGTAACTTTCTTAGACTCACTGCAAGAAAGAGTAAGGTGGTGGAGAGGCATAGCACACACTCCTGAAACGAGAGGAGTAAAGAGGGCAAATGATTATTGTCCTACTTGATGCCCTAAAATTGGTCTTCAAATTGATAAGGCACTGAACAAATTTTCCCCACACTACAACTTGAAATCCTGGTACAGTGAAATTGCTTCATAAACTTAAAAGTTTGCGTGCATACATCAATTTCATTAGAATCCTCTAAATAGTAGAAAAAGAGTCACTTTAGACACAAGCCATTTTTAGGGGAGCAAAACCAAAACCACTTAAATCATCCTGAAAAAGCTAACTTTACATAGAAAAGAATTATTAATGTAATTAAATAACAATGTATCTCAAAGTTTAGAAAAAACAATACCACTGTGGCTGTAAAATCATAAATTTACTATGTTTGAAAAGAATGCAAATGAACAGAGAAAACAGAAGCAAACCCTAAAAGACCACTGAAGTCAGATAATCCTCATCACTTGCATTACATTATATCATCTATTCACACGACAGCAGTTCTACTGTTCCAATGGGACAAGTTAAATTCATCTTCATTTTCAAAAAGGCATCCAATTATTACAAAAGCTTTTGAAGCAGAGGATTTCTTTTTCTAAAGATTAAGCAATACTGTTAAGCAATACTGGGACTTTTTTTTTTTCTCTGAAGAAGGTGTTACAATGGTTTAAAAACTAGTTGTAAAGGAATGTACCTCAAAAAAAAAAAAAAAAAAAAACAAAACAGGAAGGAAATTGAATAGTGGACATGTTCTATTAAAAAGTTGATGGATTAAATCTGTTAATTTTCAATTAATATGATGCCCTTTGTTTGGTTTTCAGTAATAAAGGCCTAAAGACCTCCGATCATGTCATTTGGTCAGGTAAATTCTAACATCCCAAGAGACCCACAGGCTACTCTTAGAGAGCACAGTTTTAATGGATGTCTAGAGTGTACACCAGAGACTTAAACACCTTTTCCTTCCATAACAATAGCTTCTTGGGCTCCTTTATACAGCTTTTGGAAGAGGAATTAATTAATTTACAAAAACCTTGTAGCTCTAGATTTACAGAAAAACCCAATACCAAGATAGCCCGCACAGAAGGTAGTGCAATAGTCATTATGGCATTTTCCACACAGGAAAACAATTTGTCATGGAAGCAAATGCCTAGGGAGAAAACAAACCTCTCAAACTCAAATTGTTTGGATTCCTTTTTGGATTGTTTACACAAATAACATTTACACAGGGAAGAAAATGAATAATAAGATGTGTTTGATCAGTTCTCTTTCAATTCTTACATTTTTGGAGTCTACAATAAAATAATACCTCAAAAAAGTAAGCAGAGCCTAAACACAAAGGGGGCATGAAACCAAAGACAGTGCTCAGGAAGGTTACTATAGGGTCATTTTGTAGTTATGTGTAAAAAAGTGAAATCAAAAAAAAGCTCCCACATTCAAAGAATAAGTTAAATGAGATTTGCCTTGAATTGTATTTTGGCTAGTATTGTATACTATGAAGCTGAGCCTATAACAAGCCAATCATGCTTATCGTGAAGTAGTTTAAATTTAAATAATGGAGTTCTTGGGTAGGAAAGAAACAAATCATTTAATATTGATGAAAATTTCAAGCTTTTGAATTTATAAGGGCAGGTCTAATAAGAGGGAAATATCTTTGCATTAATAAGTTCTCTAGATATTTATGTTTTGGTAACATATTTTCTTTGCCTGAATTCTTAGATATCATTTGATCAATAATTGATCAAAAACTCACCTATTGATATTTTAAGTAACATCTCTAACTAGTTTCCATTTGCTTCAAGTGCTAAAATAACTTAAGCAACGATGACTAATCTTTTGAATGAACAAATCTGAAGACAGAAAACAGTGGTGACTTCTGCTCAGTTATGTTGAGCGTTTCAGTCAGCCAGAGGTCACAATTCTATACAGAGACAAGTCACCAAATCTGAACACTATTCTTAATCCGTGCAAGCATCCATTAGTATTTGGAGCTGAAAATATCAAATACATCTTCTAGCTTAGCTTTCTCTTTGGCAAAACTGTGTGATATCAAGCTCTGACTGGCAGTTGCATATCCCACAGATACGGTTAACCTACAACATAGCTTATTCATGACAAAGTAATAACAAAAATCCACAGGGTTCTCATCCACAATATATTTTTTAAAAAACCACACTGTTAAAAATGCTTGTTTCTGAAGAGAAATGAACAAATTAAGAAATTTAAAAAAATGTAAAACAAAAGTAGTATGTGCAAGGTCTACATAGTAATACTGCTGGTTATGCAGATAGGATTGTACCCAACATGGGTTAAGTTTGGGAGGTCATTCATTGAAAGATCATTCAGCACAGGCAACATTTTGCCCTTTCTAACTCTTGTTACTTTCCACAAAACCAGAAATAACATTTCTGACTTGCCATATGAGAAAAGTATATGAACTCTTGACGTCCTTTTCAAATAGAAAACTACAAAACTTAACACTCAGAGGAAGCTCTTCTGCTTTTCTTTAGATAGATTTTTAGCTAATTATTGTGTGGACAATATTTTCTATTTAAGGGTAAAATGCTTATAAGGAAAAATATAAATTTATAAAAGAATACAAATGTCAGATATTTTGTGTGAGGTCCAAAGTAACAGAAGTCTATGAGAAGACATAAGTCAAAAAGCATTTCTTACCGTGGGCCACTGCTAAGGTTCTAACATCCAATAGTCTTTGTTCAAGTGCCATTTTTTGATAGAATTCTAAGGCAACTGATCTTCAAACTTTTTCTTTCTTTCTGTAATTCAACATTTATTTTCGAAATTAAATGCACCTTCGCATAGGAAGGCTCTCTCATAACTGACAAAATATGCTTTCACGGTAGAGGGCTCTATTAAGTTGACAGAAAAATGTTAAAAAGGAATGCTGTCTAAGGGAAGTTCTGATACTTAAAATTCCCAGAATCTCAAGCTTTCGCCCTTTCTCTCTTTTAAAATGACTTTGTACGCTTTATATATGCACACATACATATATGGAATCTCTCAAAACAAATGTGCTCCTGAATCTCATATTGAACAAAAATAAGGAAAACAAAGAATTAAAACACTGGCATTGTGCACATTTAAACACTGTAAAAGAAAAATATCCTGATAAAATGCGAATATTATCACCCTGATGATAAAAATCACCTGTGACCAGTAGAAGGATAATCCAAGTAACTTGGGAAAAAATGTAATTAATTATTCTAAAAGTTTTTGCAGACAAGTTTAAGTGGGGACAGTTTTCGACTAAGCAGATGGGTGGCCTAACAATGAGTTCATATAGAAGGCTAACTTTAAACCTAGTTAAACACAACCATGTTTTCTGGAGCCCATTTGAAAAAAAAATAATCTGGCATATGAACACTCAAAACCTTCTGCAGGAAATGAAGATCCCCATACAGTATTAAATTTCAGAATTTTAGTGTTTCAAAAAATCCCCTCATTCAAAACAAAGCAAAGTCCTCCCAAATCCCAAACAAACCTCAACAACTCACATTATTAACTTTTCTAATTCTTACATTCTCGTGAGAATCGGGCGAGGCTGCAGACTGATGGAGGCTACACACTTCTTTCAGGTTGGCTGTGGGGAGAATCTTACTAAGCGTCTTTATACCTCAGTTCAAAAGCAGCTCCCAATGTAACCCAAAAGAAGTATGTTTTTCCTTTTCAAAGTGTATCTAAAAATAGGCAATTCCCCCTCCAAAATTAGTACAAAGTTAAAAGAAATGCAAATTAGCTATGATCTATTCCAAGCACAGCACCGCCAGAAGATTCACACACACTATTTGGTGTTTCATGTTGGTTTTCCGTTCATTCTTTTAAGGCAGTGGTTTCCACAGGTCAGTTCAGAGATAAGAAGCATGGTCCATGGCAGTTTGTTTTGCAACTCCAAATGGTTCTCTGGGAATATATCACTTCATTCCCTGAAGTGAGTGCTTTTTTGGTTCAGAACTCCAGAGGCAAAGTCGGAACTTCTGGGCTCTCCCTGGCACAGGACTGGTTTATAGCTGGCGCTCTTTTGTCAGGTCCTCGCTCTCACTTAGGAGAAATAGTTCACCTTTCTTCTTTCTTAGGTTTTTTACTCAAAAGTCATCAAGTTTGTAGGTACCTAAAAAATATAAGCATTACAAGCTGTTAGTGTATAGACGTTGTTTCTCATAGTAGTATTTATTTGAATTGAGGTAACACTGATTTACAACACTATATGATTCAGAGACACAGGATCACCACCCTTCAGAAGTATGTTACCATAGCCCACCCACTACAAGGGATCCATAGCCCTTGCCTACAGTCCACTGGGCCCCCCTCTATACCCTCTTGTAGCCTGGATTCTAAAGTCAGACTTCTAATTATAAGTCAGTCCGAATTTTTGTTTTCTCTATATCCTCTAAGAACCAACCAGTGTTTGTCTTTTAGTTATATCCCCTCTAGTTCCATCTATGCTGAACAGTATTCCACAGTGTATATGTACCATACCGTCTTTATCCACTCATCTGTACTCAGGCCCTTAGGTTGTTTCTAGAACTTGCCTACTGCAAAGAATACTGCGATGAACACAGGAGTGCATATAATCCTTCAAATTAGTGTTTTTGTATTCTTTGTGTAGATACCTCCGAGTGGAATTGCTGGTTTATGACATCTATTTGTAGCATTTTGATAAACCTCCATACTGTTTTTCAAAGCAGTATTTCTTAACTTTCCTCATTATACTAAGTTCAAATATTAAAATCTTTCTGATGTAAATATCTTTTTTAAAAAGGAATTTAATAGAAGGCACTGTAATCATTTATGAATAATGACTATAATACACTGGAACTTTTTGAGAGAAAAATCACAGATGAATTAATACCCTCCAGTAAATTGAAACTAAAGTAGGAGAAGGGGTAGAGGCAGTACCTTGCTTGCCTAAAATAGGGGGGCAACAGATGTTCACTGAGAGAACAAATGATGAGAAAAGAATTAAGTATGGTTTTAATATAGTGAGATTCCAGACAAACATGCTTGTCATTTTATTTTCTCACTGTATGTATTACTATGAATTCCTACAAATGCAAATTTTAAAATCTGGCACAGATAATTTTGTAATGAACAGTACTAAGAATTTCTTTGTAAAATGATCATGAAAATAAATATGAAAGGATAAAATTACTAGATAAATTCTTATTGACACTTTGTTACTGAAAAATCCGTAGGTTATATAATAGCTTGCCACTTACAAATTGATCAAATTTAAATTGATTTCTTACAAGTCTGAGGTTCAACAATAAGTCTTTGAAATATAATTTGTTTTTTAAAATTAGTTGATGAGTCCTCTAGTTAAGGACTAAAAAGGGTTTCATCAGGCTAAAAGAAAATACTCAGCCTTTACTACCAGTCTTCCAAATTTGTGTTCCTAGAGATACCATATGTAGTGATCTTTTCCTATGCTTTAAAACAGTTTAACAGTCTCTACACTTTAGCAAGTTTTTTTCAAAAACTGAGGATACGGAAGGAAAAAAAAAAAAAAAAGGAAAAAAGAATCTCTTACATGGATCAGCTTCTGAATGAAAAATTATTTGCCAATGTAATCATAATAACTAAATTATAAACCATATATAACATAAATGTTCAGGTGCTTAAATTAAAGTATAAATTCTCAGGTCTGGCTATAAAAACCATAATTAAGTAAAGTAAAAGTTATTATTTCCTTCTCAGTGTGGTTTAAGGTGTAATATGTGAGTCAATTAGTCTTCTAAAAAACTTTCAAATTTCAGTTTCTATTTATAAATCTGCCACTACTCTGATTCTTGCAAGTATAGAAAAAACAAACAAAAATCCACTTATATACATCGAGTGGACTAAAGTCAACTAATACAATAAAAGAAACAGAACTTACATGCTAAGAATATATACATTGTCTGAATTAGTCTTGAAATCTGAGTTTTAAGAAAAATGACAATTAAATATTCAGGTGCATTTATAGAAAATGTATAGGATATAGTTGAGTCCTGAAAGGTGTAGTCTTGGCAAGAGAAGGTCTGTTTCTTTCATTCCGTACCAGATACTAATTTGACATCGGCAAGAAAATAATTTTTGCTCTATGGCATTTCACATTCTTTATGATAGTTGCTAAAAATGGTATCAAAATATAGCTATTAATCTTTTACACATATCTGAAATAAAAAGTATGAGAAAACAAAGCCCATCCTAACAATATTTAAAAAGATAGACTTAAAGGATGAAGATAGTTTGTGTCTCCACCAGTTTTCACTTGTTTGACTATGTAGATCATGTAGGATCTCCCAGTTAATTCAGAAAGTTGGTTCACTTAATACTCTTTAGAATTCTTTAAAATATATACAAAAATGATGGACTATTCTGAGAATTAAGAGAAATGCTCACCTGTTGTTTGTTACTTTGGCAGGCTGCACTCAAATGCTTAAACCACAGCATTGCATTCATCCGATTGCCAGCTTGAAACTTGTATGAATTTCCTAAATTTTTAAAAAATAAAGGGAAGAGAAACAAAAACTTAAGGACTAAGACAACAGTAACTCTGCCAGATATTAAAGAGCAAAATAAAACATGACTAGAGTTCTTAGTTTCAGAAATCTAGTCCTACAGGAAGAATTCTCTATGCTATATTCATATGTAATTATTTATTCAGAAAGCTACCTCTTCGCCGTTTAGGGATTAATAACATAAACTAATTTTACTTGTTTCCTTAAATGTACTTTAAAGTATATGAAATAATTGTTTACTGCTTTCATATTTCTTTATGTGGATGAGAGTGATGAATACTGGTTCTTGATACTACTTTAGATGACCTTAATATTAGATGTTAACATTGTTTTCAAATGCCAAAATGCTTTAACATGCTTCATACTTAAACATTAACTATTTAATGTAATTAAAGATTAATCAGATACTCTCAATATCAGCTATGCTTTTAGTCTTTAGTTACAAGATGTTTGTAAAATTATTATAGCTCTCCGTCCTCCTGAGGAATTTCTTGGAAAAATCTAAGGAGGTACCTCTACTCTTTCAGAAAATTAGAAATTCATTTGTGGTGTTATTTAGTAGACTTGTGCTTGTTCAGGGAGCTTACTTGGGGCCTTTGCTGCTGTCAGTGGGGCTTCTACTGGGTGTGGTTCAAAGTGTAATTTTATTTGAAATCAGAAAATTGAGTAAGGAGTACCTATGCTATGAATCAATTTAATCTCAAAATAAGACACTTAGCTATTACTTTTTTTCTGTGTCCAACGTATTTGCTTGTTTAAAGTTTTATTTACAATACATAATATCCTAAAAGCAGAGTATCTGTTAATACAAAATATATCTGAATAAACCAAGGTGAAAATATAATGAAAATCAATAAAATGTAATAATATATCATTTTAGCTGTGAGCTGTTGGAACAGGAGATTCTGGGCAGATATAAAATTTCCTTTCTGGGTGCCTTAGAGTTGTTAGCAACAGCTGGCAGCTGTTTTGAAGGGAGAGCAGCAATCACATAAAACTGTTCTGAAGGACTGTCTGAAGTGTCCACTACTGGACAAGCAGGGTTAGAAGGTATGATCTGAATTCTACACAGCCTACCCTTCGACTTCTCTCATCTACTGTAAAACCCCTATGGTCAAGAGTCAATAATATTGTTCTTAAATTTCTCTATATACTACAAGTAAGATATTAAAATGAAAATGATACTTATCCGTAAAGTGATGTGAGTCAAATCACCAAATAATCTAACTGAAACTTCCTGGTGGTGCAGGCAGTTGAGCGCAGTGCTGTGAAGCTGTCTGCAGCCCCAGCAGCACGGGTTCAATCCCGGCTGGCCGGGGAGATACCCACGTGGTGCGGCAGACCTCTCCTGTCTCACTCGCTGCTCCCCTCAGCAGTGCATTTCAGTCAGTCTGCCTGTTCTGTTCCCCGCTCTGTCTCTGGTGAATCCCTCACCCTCCCGCACATCTGACCTGTACCCTGGTTCTTGTATGCATAAATAAATAAATCTTTAAAAAAAACCAAACAACTAAAACTAATGGAATAAAAGCAATTTAAAAGAAAACCTCTGTCATGGTGAGAAGTTAAGAATAACTATTTTAGGGTATAAATGGAGGGTAATGCAGTTATGGCAAATTTCTATGATTTTACATATTCTTTTTTTTTTTTTTTTTTTTTTTATATAGAGGCATGCTTTTATTTATTTGTTTGCTGGTTTGTTTGTTTGTTTGTTTATACATGCACTGGGTACAGTCAGAAGCGCGGGAGGGTGAGAGAATTCACCAGAGCCAGAGCGGGGAGCAGAGCAGGCAGAAGGACCGAAGTACACTGCTGAGGGGAGCAGCGGGCGGCAGGAGAGGTCTGCACGCCATGTGGGACCCTCCTCCGGTGGCCGGGGAGCAGCCGGGGATCGAACCGGCGCCACAGAGGCTGCGGGCAGCTTCGCAACCCAGCGCTCAACCGCTGCGCCACCGGGGAGGCCCAAATTTCTATGATTTTAAAGGTAAGAGTGGCCTATAGATTTTCAAATTCCTTCCTTCCTCTCATTCCTGCTTAGCTCTCTAGGGATTACTTGGGCTTTTAATTTCACGCTTATGCCCATCTAGCAAGGAAATAAGCTCTAAAAATATCAATACCATTACTATACATTTTGAGACAGAAGTATTTCCCAAGAGCTAGAAAGTATATATACATTCCCTCTATGGAGAATTCCTGTTAAACTAGGTTTTGGCTTACTGAAAGTTATGCATACAAAGTATCTTGAACCCTAATAACTATAATTAATGGTTCACCTTTTTCAGAGTCAGTCAGCAAGAAGAGATCTGGATGCTCTGGGTCATCGGCCATCATCACCATCCACCCAACCACAGACACGTTCTTATTTGATGTTGATTTGAACTGAGAAAAAAAAGATAGTTGATGAAAATACAAAACTTACAGTGCAAATGCTCCTGACCAGCAAGTGAATCTTTTCTTACTCTCCAGAATTCAATGTTGGGGTGTACATGCCTCGCCCTTTCTCTATGTATTTATATGAGAAGCCTCTTTCACTGTTAGTTTTTATATACTACTGGGGGTATATTTATACTCCGATTTGTGGTTTTCACTTTAAGAATTTCCTACGTATTCTGGGTGTTTGCAGAATTTGCCATTTTAAAGAACATTCTTCTATAAGACATAGTCACACACTTGTCCAAGGATATCCATGGGAGAGATTCTCAGATAAGGAATCACTGGTATAAAAATAAACATGGACAAAGACTATTTGTCACTAAAACAATAAATAATAATTTAAATTCCTGCTAAATGGACAACATGGCAGAACAGAGAGGTTCACATCACCCTCTCCCCTAAGCACAACTATAAACAAAAATTAAAAGATTAAGAAATTCCACAACAGAGTTCCAGGATTTTTCCACAGAGGCTGTCCACTGAGATTGGTGGCTTGTTGGAGGGAAGAGGAGGGAGGAGGCGAGGAGAGCACAGCCAGGAAAGCAGATACCCAGCCCCTCAGAGCAATCTGGCAACAGCCACCCGTGACCTCATAGAGCACAGTCATTTTCACCAGAGGGACTTTTCAAAAAGGGAATGCAGGCACATGAGACAGGACTGGCCTAGGTCATGGAGAGTTACACAGCCAGTATGGACAAGGAGAGCTCCCCCTGCAGACAGGCCTTTACTTCCTCCTCCTGGGTGAACTGAGATAAATGAAGCACTGAATGCAGCTTGCTGTGGAGAGAGGAGAGGAGGGAGATCTGATTTACCAGCCTGGAGTCACCCTCACTCCTCAATAAGACTGAAACTAAGTGTAAGTCTCAGCCCCTATCTTCTGCTAAGGTAAAGAAAGAAGAGAAACAAATAAAACTAGACCTGCAGCGGCCCAACCACAAACAAATAAGGCAACACACAAGCTTAGGAAGGAACACCTGACATAAAGGTGGAAAAGTCCAGAGACATGTATGAAGAATACAGAAATTCAGGATCCAAGAGACAAAGAGCTTAAAACAACAATATAAAAAATACTAAATGAGGTACTGGAAGGTCAAACACATGTAGGTACAAGGTAGTAGAATGAAGATGCAGGAACGAAAAGAATTCTTCACCAAAGAGACTGAAGATATTAAAAGAACACAAAAAAGAGATTCTAAATGAAACGGACTCGGTAAAAGACAGAATAAATTGGTAGAAGACAGAATTTTGGAAATTAAAGACTCAAATGTACAAACCACCCAAATAGGAAACATGAAGAAACTCTCTGAGAATTATCAGATTGAATTAGAAGAGGAAATACAGGATAATGCTTAGTCTAGATGATGAAGCGAGAGAAGAAAGCTGAGACCCCATTCAAACAAATAATAATAGCTAAGAATTTCCTGAACCTAAGGAATGAAATATACATGGATGTACAAGAAGCAGAAATAACATCTGAATACAAAATAAACTACCCCAAGATACATCACTGTTAACTCATCAAAAAAAAATCAAAGATAAAAAATAATACAGGAGGCCAGGAAAAAAAAAAAACAACTAAGGTAATTTATAAAAGCATTCAAATTAGGCTTTCATTGTATTTTGCTCTAGTCACCCTCCAGAGGCAAGAAGAGAGTAGAATGAAGTGTTCACAATTCTAAAAGTTAAGAACTGTCAACCAAGAATACTCTATTTTGTAAAATTATTGTTCAAATGGTAAGGTAAAATAAAGGCTTTCCTTGCAAATCAAAACCACAATGACATGCCATCTTACACCAGTGAGAATGGCACATATCAAAAAAAATAGCAACAACAAATGTTGCCGAGGATGTGGAGAAAAAGGAACTCTCCTATATTGCTACTGCTGGTGGGAATGTAAACTGGTCCAACTACTATGGAAAGCTCTGTAGAGATTCCTCAAACTGCTAAAAATGGAGCCTCCATATGATCAAGCAATTCTACTCTTAGGTATCTACCCAAAGGACACAAAAACATTAATTCAAAAGAACACCTGCACCCCTATGTTTACTGTAGCACTATTTACAATAAGTAAGCTATGGAAACAACCCAAATGCCCAAAAATAGATGACTGGTATATATACACAATGGAATATTACTCAAGAATCAAAAAGATAAACTCATGCCATTTGCAGCAAAATGGATGAAGCTGGAAGGGATCATGCTCAGTGAAATATGCCAGAAAGAAAAAGAAAAATACCTGATTATTTCACTTATAGGATGAATGTAGAGGATCCAAATAAGTGATAGGGAAAAAAAAGTTATTGTAATAAAGTGAAAATCAAAATCAACAAGCAACTATAAACGAGAGACATTTTGCAGAGAGGGGAGCAGGGAGTAGGATCAAACAGGTGGGAAGAGCACAGGGGACTGTGGTGATGGTGCATGGGTGAACTGGTGGTGAGAATTTCACGGGGACTATAACCGAGATGAGAAAGCATACATTATTTAAAAAAATGAAGAACGATGTAAAAAATATATAAAATAAAGTAAATAAAAAAATAAAGGCTTCCCCAAATAAACAGAAGGTAATGGAATATACCACCAAGAGACAAGCCCTATAAAAAATGTTCAAAGGAGTTCTACAAGAAAAGAAAAAATGAAACACAAAACCCTGAGCAAAGTGACAACAGAACTACAAAATCAGAAGCAAGAAAAAGAATATCATGAGCCAACAACAACACTAAAGGGGAAAATCTGTACAGTTAAATGTCAGAGTCAATTTCAGCTATAAAGAACTTTTTTTAGACAAAGTAAGTTTGTTATAACCCCTAACCCAAGGGTTAACCACTAACTAAAAAATCTGTATTAGAGGTGCATAGAAGAAGAAATAAAGTGAGAGAATCATTAGGGAAAGTCATCCAAATGTAGGAACAGAGAGAAACATATGGAAAAAGAAACAACAGAAAGACAATTAAAAAAAAAAAGAATGACAGTAAATGGCCACCATATATGAATAATCACTAAATGTAAATAGCCTGAACATACCAATTAAAAGAAACAGAATGACAAATTGGGTTAAAGAAGTTCCAGCATCTCTGTTTACAATCAACACACTGAAAACTGAAAACAAGTAAAAAGTTAGAGCAAGGTACTTCAAGCCAATAACTCAGAAAGAAAAGCAGGAACTGATACTCTCAGATCTGATAAGCTAGACTTCAGCCAAAAAAGTTAATCAGAGTCAAGGATAGACACTACATAATGATCAAGGCAACAATTCATCAATAAGATGTAACTGACATTAATATTTATGCACCTAACACATTAATATATTATGCAGCTAGTAATTATATAAAGCAACTATTAAAAGACCTAAAATAACATATTCACAAAAATACAATCACTGTCCGAGTGTCAACATATCATTGACATGAAGGGATAGATCATCCACACAGAAAACCAACAAGGAAATAAAGCCTTAAGTGAAGTGATGGACAAGATGGGTTAATAGACATTTACAGAGCTTTCCATTCCAAAAGAAATTAATACACATTCTTATCAAGTGCACACAGGCCATGCCCAAGAATAGATCATATAAGCTGGGATACAAAATATGTTTCAGAAAATAAATGAAAATAGTAATTATATTAAGCATCTTCTAGGATTGCAATGATATACAGCTAGAAATTAACCACAAGAAGAAACCCGGAATAAACCAAAACACGTAGAGACTAAATAAAATGCTTTTTAACAACTCCTGGGTCAATGTAGAAATCAAAAAGTATCTAGAGCCTAACAAAAATGGAGAGATAAGCTTCCAGATTTTATGGGACGCTCTAAAAGCAGCACTATGAAGGAAGTTTATATGAATACAGGCCCACATTTAAAAAAAAAAAAAAGAAAAAGAGAAAAATCTCAATCTAACTCTAAGCTGAAGGAACTAGAAAAAGAATGAACAAATATGAAAATCAGTAGAAGAAAGGAAAAAATAAAAATCAGAACAACAACAACAAAAATGAAATAGAAAACAAAAAGACAGTCCAGTAGATCCTGAAACTAAGATCTGGTTCTTTTAAAAACATTAATGAAATTGGTAAGTCCTTAGCTAGACTCATTAAGAGAGACAACCCAAATAAATAGAATCGAAAATGAAATAGGTGAAATCACAACAGATGCTGCAGAAAAACAAAGGGTCCTAAGAACCTATGAACATCTCTATGCAAGTAAACTGGACAACCTAGAAGAAATGAACACATTTTTAGATACATACAACCTTTTAAGACTAAACCAGGATGAAACAGACATCAACAGTCTAATCTCAGAAAATAAAAGGGAATTAAAAAGGTCTCCTAAGAACAAAAGACCAGAGGGCCTCCCTGGTGGCGCAGGTGGTTGAGTGCAGCGCTGTGAAGCGGTCAGCAGCCTCTGCAGTGCTGGTTCGATCCCCGCTGGCCTCGGAGCAACCCACATGATGAGCGGACCTCTCCTGTCTCCGCCGGACGCTGCTCCCCCCAGCAGTGTATTTTGTTAGTCTGCCCATTTTGTTCCCTGCTGTGTCTCTGGTGAATCCTTTCACTCTCCAGCGCACGCATCTGCCTATACCCGGCTCTTGTATAAATAAAATAAATCTTGGGCCTCCCCAGGTGGTGCAGCGGTTTAGCGCTGGGCTGTGAAGCTGCCCGCAGCCTCTGCAGCACTGGTTTGATCCCCAGCCACCAGTGAGGGTCCCACATAGCGCGGCAGACCTCTCCTGCTGGGCCTGCTTCCCTCAGCAGTGTGTTTCATTGGTCTGACAGTTCGGTTCCTGACTCTGGTGAATTCTCTCACACTCCCACACTTCTGACTGTACCCAATGCTTGTATAAATAAATAAATAAATCTTTAAAAAAAATAATAAAATAAATCTTAAAAAAACCTGAAAGACCAGAACCTTCAAAGAGGAACTAATACCAATCCTATGCATACTCTTTAAAAAATATGAAGAGGGAACAAAGTTCCCTAACACATAATGAGGCCAATAATTACCCTGCTCCCAAAACCAAACAAGAACACAAGAATGAAAACTATAGGTTGATATCCCTGATGAGCAAGATGCAAAAATCCTCAACAAAATCCTGGCAAACTGAATACAGTAAAATATTAAGAGAATCATCCACCATGATCAAATAGGTTAAAGTCCAGGGATGCCAGCCTGATTCAATTTATGTAAATCAATGTCATTCACCAGATAAACAAAAAGCAAAAAAGAATCCCATGATCATTTCAATAGACACCAAAAAAAAAAAAAAAAAAAAAAAGCACTCAACAAGGTTCAACATCCATTTATGATAAAAACTCTCGATAAAATAGGAATAAATGGAACTTACCTAAACATAATAAAATTCACATGAGTGCTAACATTGCAATCAATGGTGAAAAGCTAAAAGCGTTTCTGCTACGATCAGAATAAGGATGTTCACTGTCACCTCACTGATCAACACAGTATTAGAAGTCATAGAGCAATTAGGGGAGAAAAAGATATAAAAGGAATCCAAACTGAAAAAGAGCGAAAGTATCAGTATTCACAGATGACATGATAATACACAGAGAGAACCAAAAGACTACCAAAACTGCTAGAAATAATCAGTGAATACAGTGAAGTGGCAGGATACAGAATCAATTGCATTTTTATATACAATGAATTAGAAGAGAAATTAAAAAAACAATCCCATTTCTTTCATACCCGAAAGAATGAAATATCAGGGAGTAAACTTAATGAAGGAAGTGAAGGACATATACACTGAAAACTTTAGGACTTTGTTAAAGGAAAAGAAGACATGAAGAACTGGAAAGCTATCCCATACTCATGGACTAGAAAAATCACCAGCATTAAAATGGCCATATCACCAAAAGCAATTTATAGATTCAATACAACACCTATCAAAATTTCAATGACATTTTTCAAGGAAGTACAATTATAAAATTTGGATGTAACCACAAAAGTCTCTGAACAGCCCAGCAATCCCAAATGAAAAGTGGAGATATCCCACTCTTTGACTTCAAACTATACCAACAGAGGTAATCAAAACAGTACGAAATTGGAACAAAAACAGAACCAGACCAATGAAATATGATAGAAAGTCCAGAAATAAAACCACACAAATACAGAGTTAAAGGTCAAAGGAGTCATGACCGTACAATGGAGAAAGGAAAGCTAATTAATAGTGCTGGGAAACATGGAGAGTCACATACAAAAAATGAAACTACATCCATATTTAAGTACATGCACAAAAATTAATTCAAAATGGATTCTAGATTTTGATATAAGAAATGAAACCATAAAATACTTAAAATATAGGACATACACAACAGGACATCTACTTCAAAGACATATTTGAAGATGCAACTCCAATGGCAGGAAAATAAAAGCAAAAATAAACAATCTCATTAGATTAAATGAGAAAGATTCTTGTACTTCAAAAGAAAGCATCATAAAAACAAAAAGGTAATCTAGAGACTGGGAGAAGATATTTACATACCACATATCTGACAAGGGGCTAATTTCCAAAATAAACAAGTACTTACACAACCAACCCAAAAAAGACAACCCAATCAAAATATGGGCAAAAGTCCTAAATAGACATTTTTCTAAAGATGACATTCACATGGCATACAAGCACATGAAAAATTGTTCAACATCACTATTTGTACAGGCAAATGCAAACCAAACCATAAAATAGCACTGTATTCCTGTAAAAATGGCCTATATCAAAAAGAATGGAAACAACAAATGTTGGTAAGGACATGGAGAGAAAGGAACTCTCATTTACTGTTGGTGGAAATGCAATTTGGTGCAACCTCTACGAAAATGGTACGGAGATTTCCCAGAAAAATAAAAATGGAAATCTCATATAATCCAGCAATACCTCTGCTAGATATTTGCACAAAGAATATGAAAAAACTAACACAAAAAGACGTATGTATGACTATGTTCACAGCAGCACTGTCCACAACTGCCATGTCATGGACCTAAATTAAGCACTTAGCAGATGATTGGATAAAGAAATCGTGGAATACATACTCAATGAAACACTAATCAGCTATTAAAAAATATAAAATAGTGCCTTTTGGGACAAAATGGATGGACTCTGAGGTGATTATACTAAGTGAAATAAGTTAGAAATGAAAAGACAGACAAAAGATGGTTTCATTTCTATGGGATACAAATAACCAAAAAACATACTGGCAAAACACAGCAAAAACAATTCTTAGACTTCGTGAAAAATATACCAGCCACCAGAGGGAAGAGGGGAGAGGGAGAAAAGAGGAGAGGAAAGGGATAGGGATTAGCATGGGAGGTTTGGGAGAGGGTGGGTTAAGTATGTGCATAGTAAGTTACTGACTGTAACGACTGACAAAAAAATATTTCTGCTAATTGTGGATGACAGTCTGTTTTTTAATACCAAGATTAATGTTATATTTTCACCTTTGATATCCTCCTTCTGCATTTATATACATATATGAGCAGGTATATTTTCATTACTGAGATAATTTTCTCCTCGAGCTTTTAATTTGGAAAAAATTCAAACTACACAGAAGTTTAAAGAATGCTAACATGATAAGTCACTATATCCTCAATCTATACTGCATTGCTTGATTACCCTGAATATTTAAACCTAAGCTGCAGAGAGCATAACATGGAATACTAAATATTTCAAATGTGTATATATTCCTATATACCTATAATGTATCAGCTAAGAAATGTAACAGCTATAATCATAATAAAGTCCGTGTTAAAATTTCTTCAATGTTCCCAATTATGATCTCTATAGCTGTTTAAAGAAACTGACTTCCAAGATTCAACCAAGGTATTCATTTAGTTGTCAAGGTTCTTTAATCTGGTTTTAATCTAAAACAGTTTTTCTGTCCCCCTTTCTCATTCCAGCAGCCAAACTTTAGTCTTAAGAATATAAGCCATTGTAGAATGTCCCACAATCTGGATTTGATTGTTTCCTCATGATTAGATTCAAGTAAAACTTTTGGTAAGAACACTCACATAGTTGGCGCTATGTTTATATAACAGATTTAATCAATTATTTGTTGTTTACACAGTATTTTCTTTAATTTCATATGTATTTTAACTTTCTCTGAAAATGATTTTTTTCCTCCATTGCTTTTCACTTCTATGCCTTATCTCTTCTATTGTAAAAGTGATACTAAACATAATCATGGATTTATTGCTATTCCCTGTATCCTTGTTCTTAAAATTCTTTCTTTAGTCTTAATAATTTTACCTAGAAAAGGAAGAATACAGTCTATTTCCTTGGAACTCAATTTGATTTCCTCACAACCCACTGTGCTCTAATTTCTAAACATTTCATAAATGTTATTTGTCAGAAAAAATCATAGCATCAAAACTCCAAATTATCATAACATATTCTCTAAGAATAAACAGCAAGGCCAAAACGCAAAAAGATTTTTAACACAAGTGTTAAATGACAAATTCAGTTATCCCATCAATTTTATCTAATTTGTCTATTTAGGGAAAAAATTTTTAGTTTGAATAGCTATGTCTTTGTAATAGCCTACTAAGTGGAATCCAAAGTGGCTATGTGAGAAGAACTTCGCTGAATTATGCAAAATCATTTGGCTAATTTATTGAGTAGAAAAAGAACTTTTTCTTACTGGCTCAATCTTTCTTAGTATGGTAAACCACTTAATTTCCCCCAAAGTAGATGATTTAGAAATAAAATTCCTCTCAAAGGAATTTTATTAAAGCAACATGGAAAATTATTCTTTTTAAAGACTGTGTCACTGGCATATAAAAACAAAACAGCATGTAAAAAAAAACAACAACAACAAAAAACCCCAAAACTTTACAGGAAGATTTGGAAAAAAAATTGCATTGAGAGACTTAAGTTATATGAAACCTAAGAAAGTGGAGCACAGTAACTATTGTTTCTCTTCACTGCTTGGAAAAATCACTCAAATCCGATTGACGTAGAAAAGATTTTAGAGTCTGTTCACATTTCTTTCTCATATTACAGATTAAGAATGGAGACTCCAATGCAAAAGTTTTTTACTATTTTCTAAACAAGAAACTCAGTTTTGGGAAGGCTTTGATGCTAAGACAGAATTCAAAAAAGACACTTCCATATAGAAGTTATTCTAAGATCTTCTGTGGAATGGTCTTACTAGCTAAATTAATCCATTACCATACTCATATACAAAAAGTAGTGTAGAACTTCTGGATTAGAATATGGGGGAAAAAAAGCAAACACTTAGTTCCCATTAAGACTACTGTTCTCTTTACAACCATAAAGAGGCTGTGAAACTGTTAACAATTCAGAGGAAGAATACTTACATGTTTTCTTTCTGTAGCCTTTAGAGATTTGGCAGCATAATAAAAAAGTTGTGTCCCACATAAAGCTGCCCAATATTTTGTCCAAGATGCTACCTGGAAAGAACACATGAATATATGAGAGTGTTATCACTTCTGAAATCTTTACCTCAAATATTCCTATCACTTCTATTTAATACAGTATAATACTTTCTTTTAGATAATTCATGATCTCATCAAGAATCCTACCACTTTTTAATATTATCTAGTATTGCCATGCCCTTCCCAATCTGCATCCTCTCTCTCCCTGCTTCATATTTAGCTTATACTATCTGGTCTAGCACATGTACATTCCTTTTCAAATACTTTAATATCTCACTGTTTTCTCTTTCTTGATAAAAACCTAACTCTAGTTAAATCTAACCATCCAATTACTTGGTACAACATCAGAGCTGCTGAATATTGCTGGAGAAATTACCCAACTATATCAACTGATAAGGATTATGACCATCATAATCTTTATTTTCACTCAGTGAAGTCTTTATACACTCTCTGGAGTGAACTACTTCACACTTGCTCTTTAAAATCTTAATATTCTACCCCCTAACAATATCATTGCATACATCCTAGAGAAAAATGGACGGAAATCTTTTGAGGATGGCCACATCTTCTCAGACCACTTCATTTAATTATCTGTGTACAGATTCACATACTCAGTCTTTCTTCCTGCTCTAACACAACAGTTAACTCTACTTCTATCAAAGAAGAAACTACCCTGCTTTTATGCCCTAGATAAGTACTATTTCTCACTTTCTCCAGGAATGCGCTTTTGCAACCTATTCCTCTCTCCAGTGCATCTCAATTTCTTTCTCTATCACCATGATACAGATGTGGGTTAACAATACTATCATCTTTAAAAGTCCCCCTTTAACACATCAGACACCACCAATTTCTCTGCTCCTTTTCACAGGTTACTCTTCCAAGATTGTCTATAATTCCTGATTCCACTTTTGCCCATTTTCTTCTCAACTTACTTCTTTGTGGCTGCTGATGTTATGGTCACTTATCACTAACATTTTATTCAAAGCCTCTGTTCCTATTGTAGTCAGAATTCTTAGCATCTAATATGGCTGGCTACTCGTTTCTTCTTGAAATACTTCAACTGCTAGGTTCCCATGATAATAGTTTATTTTCCTTTCCACACCTTTTATAACAGACGTTTATATGCTACAGAGTTCTAGCCCCAATCCTGTTTTCTCAGCCACACTTTCTTCAAGTAATAACTGTCTATCAATGACTCCCAAATCTCCACCTCTGATCACCGCCTCTGTGCCAAACTTCTAAACGACTTTTCAAAGAGCCAAACTGACATCTCTATTGAAGTCTCTTAAGAATATTAAACTGAAGTTGGCCAAGACTTATCTGCCTCCTCAAAAAATTTCCCTACTTCAATAAATGCCCCCAACAGTCACCTGGCTCAGGCCAAAACCTAGAAGTTGTCTTCGCTCCACTCTTCCTCTTATTCACCACATCTGCTACATCATCAAGCAACCCCTGCCTTTCGCTCTAACTTCACCTCCTTCACTGGCAGGGCTTCAACTATTCAGGTCTTCTGATCTCCAGAACTCCAGCTCTTTACAAGGCCAACCGACCTTCCTTGTTCAAATGCCTCACTTCACCCTGTGATCCTCCACCTTATCTGAAGGGTTTATTTTCTATTTTTCCTCATTGGAACACTGTTGACTGTCGCGGACACTGTGTCACATCTTGTTCGTTGCCGTATCCCTAGTATCTGGCACACAAAGGTGTGGTAATGCCTCAGTGACATGCCATCTGTAGTTCACCAGCAGCCTAGTAATGGTTTTTTGATTTTGTGTGCCTAAGGTTTACTGTCATGTAGTCAACAAAATCACATTACTTACATGCAAACCATTTTATATTGAAGAAGCTCTCATAACTTCAAAAGTTCTAAGTGTGGATATATGTAAATGTATACTGAAATATTATTCCAAATTAGATAAAAATTATATTATTATTTGAGAAAAGAAAAAAATCTGTGAAGCTATTGTGCTGCTATTATGGAAGAACAAATGTGTGTGTGTGTTTAAATAAAATTATGGTTTGAAGTACACTCAATATTTGGGTTCTATTTTATATAGAGAAACAAAACTGCATTACAGATTTAAATAAGCAATTTAGGATTCACAAACCAAAATTGACTGAATTCCATTTTGAGGGAGTTATATTGGTGAAAGACTTCTTAGCAGTACACCCATTCAGGGTTCTCTAAGAAATGGTTTTGCATAAGAAGTACACTGGGGGGCCTCCCCTGGTGGCGCGGGCGGTTGAGCGCAGCACTGTGAAGCTGTCTACAGCCTCTGCAACAATGGTTTGATCCCGGCCGGCCGGTGAGGGTCCCACAGGGCGCGGCAGACCTCTCCTGTCTCGCCCACTGCTCCCCTCAGCAGTGTATTTCGGTCGGTCTGCCTGTTCTGTTCCCCGCTCTGTCTCTGGTGAATCCTCTCACCCTCCCACGACTCTGGCTTATACACGGGTTCTTGTGTGAATAAATAAATAAATCTTAAAAAAAAAAAAGAAGTACACTGGGGGCAAAGATCAGTACAGGTTTACCTTGGTTTAAACACCTTTTTTTTTTTAATTACACCTACAAAGATATTTATTATGTAGTTAAAATCATACTTGAGCATCTAGACAAGATACAGTCAGGAAAAATTATCATAAAATCTAAAAGTATCATCATATTTAGAACCTTTGTTGACTTTATCTTTTTAATAGTAAAAACTTCATGTTACTAGTCTCTTCCAAGCTGAGTAACCATCTTTGTGTGTCCTACACACTTCTTCTTGATGTAACTTTCTAATTTAAAATGCACTGTACTTTAGGGGGAAAAATAACACTCTAATTTTAGAATTCATCAACAATAGAATGGTCTTACTACACATTTACTTGAATAATGAGCCAATGATACAAAATGGGCAGCGGTTTTGTAATCAAGATATTCTTCTGAGTATAAAATTAGATAAAATATCTTCTAAGTTGCTCTCTCACAACATATTAGCTTCTCATTATTTTCCCATTTGTCCATATAACTTGTAAGAACTGAGTATTAAAACTGTGCAATAAAATTTATCAAGAAAATACTAAGAATTTGGTTAAAGATGGCAAGTTTAGCCCACCCTTATCTTCTTCCCCTTCAAGACTTCATAAAAGTCAAGATCCTAAATGATCTGAGAACAAACACACCAAAGCAGAACAGTGTTTACCAGGGAAATGCTCCCAGATGAAAACAGCAGGTTCACAATTCCCTATTGCCCATTACATAGATGAAGTCAAGTTTAAACACTTTTAATGTATGACTTCACTAAATCTATATAGCAGGTATAACAACACTTTAAGAAACATAATTAAGCAAATGTGCATTTTAAATTATTTCAACTTTACTACAGATCTATTTCAATTGTCTAAAAAATATCTTTAATATTTTTTTAGGAGCCTATGAATTTGCATCTTTTTAGAGGTATGTTAAAATATAACAAAATCTTACTGTAGGTTTTTTGCCTTCTTTTAACAAAGTTTTTCTCCTGAGAACACCTTGAATAGTAACAGCTCCTGGATATAAATGTACTGCCAAGTCTTCTGATTCTGCAGAACTGTAATAGTAAAATGAAGAAAATATAAGCGCTTAGTCTATAGTAGTTATCAAGCAGGTATTTACATAAAACAAAATATAATTATTCTTAATTTTAAAATTTATTACTTTATTCAGAATGAGAAGACAATGACAATTAAAAAGGTTTATTGGTCTGATATTTATAAGTTGTCACAAAAGTTAATCAGGAAGTTATTAAAATCAGTAGATGGTTAAAAAACACATTTTAATACATATTTGAGCAAGTATAATTTAGAAAGAATACAGTAATTCACTTTAGCAAATATTAAATTAGGAATTTAAGACTTCTTAACATGTAACACTGTATCACTGCTGTAATCTTTTTTCCCCATTAGAAACTGTAAGTCCTGGTAGGATAGATGAGGATTCTACTTGTTAAAAGTATTTAAACATAAAAAAAACTAAAGCTAAAAATAATTAGTAGAAGTTCAGAAAAGGAAAACAAAAACCTGTACTTAATTCTAAAATAGGTGAAAGAATTAAAGCAACAACATTTAAAAAACTGGCTTGTGCCAGAAATTTAAATGACATTTAAATACTGTCAAAGTGTGTTTGATTATAGCCAAACAGTTCTCCAAGAAAGAAATAATTCTAAAATGCAAGATTTCATTTTCATTTATCTTAAGAAAAACATCACACACAAAAAACATATTTAAATATTTTTCTCCAGTGATTTAAGATTCTGTATTTAAAACAAGAATGACTTCCACAAAACTCAAAACATTCACATTGATAAAACTGTCATCCTCTGGTGATTTGACATGAGCTGTAGAATTCCTTCAAAAGCAAAGAAGTGGTGTTTGCCAGTTTATCCCTTTATGATTATTTAGGTGTCTTCAAAGTGACTTAAAAACCTAAAAAACCACTAGAAATTTCATGATAGAGGTATACATGAGAAGGTCAGACACCATCCAATTGACATAAAGTTTCCTTCTAAAGGTTCTGTTTTGTTGTATTATGAATTGGCTGATTACCTATTACTACTGACCTCCAGCCTCTAATCAATCTACTATGTGAATTTTCTTTTGCAGCCAGTAAGTGCAGAAAGAGATCCAGTTCAACTAGATGAACAACTGAATGAACATTAGTTGAAATACACAACTATTATTTAATGAAATAACTTGTCTAAATTCAGGACCTGCAACTGATCCGAAAAATCATATAAAAAGACAAATCAAATGTAGACTTATTAGTAAAGTAAAATGCTTTGATTGCAGTCTTTGAATAAGAAGCAGATTTTTTGGTACCGCTCACAGCATTAGAAAGAGCGATGTAGTTAAAAAAGCTACCAACTTGAAATTACTTTTAAATGTGACATGAAGATGCAGGCTTTAACAATTAGCTCTGTGGATCAGAAACAATAGTTCAAATTTACCTCTAGATTAAATCTTGGAAAGTTTTCCTGGGCATTTTGTTTAGTTTTAAATTGATTAGTTGAGAAAGAACAGAAGTAATGTGAGACCACACCCATGTAAGCCAATCACCAACACCAGAGGGGAGTTCTGTGACCCCTGAATACAGGGGGATTGTACCTGCTGGCCTTCATGTGGCTTCGATAGCCATTTCGTGCCACTCTTGTCACCGGGCCGAGAGAATGGTATAATCTGTTCCTGTTGAATTCCATTATAAATTGTATATATTACATATACTTTTAATCACCAAATCATAATCAATACCTAGAACAGTATAATAATGTCTGTGTAATCTTACAAAAGGTGAGATTGTGATTGTTCCTCTCTCTTTTTCAAAGCATGCAGCATAGACATAAATTATTTTTCCTTCAACTATTGAGTCTAGAAATACTTACAGGTACTTAGTACATACCACATATTTATATATACACATTAACTTTCACCAATCTGCTAAAATAACTAAGGAGCTATTTATAACCAAATAACATCAAAAGCTGAAAAATACTTCAAAAATTCTTTTGTTATAATTCTAGTTCTTAGATTCCAGTTTGAATATAATACCTGGATTTATATAAATAATTTTCTCTATATGTCCCTATGAAGACACCTAAAAGAAATATGGCATGTAAATTTAATGTGGCCTAACCATTTTATTTTCCTCTCTATCCTTTATATTAAAGCAAGTAAAACTGTGTTTGCTTCGGCAGCACATATACTAAAGCAAGTAAAATTAATAGATGAACTGAGTAATAAATGTAGTATTTCCACAACTACCAAAGTGAATAAATGATAAAATCAATAAATGATAAAGCCGATACATGATAAAAATGGTATGAATTAATATTTGCCCAAAGTGGCATATAATACTTAACAAGGGAAATACACACAACCACATACATAGATAGGCAGACAGACAGACAGACAGACACACACACACACACACACACACACGCGCGCGCGCAGAGATACTGCTAACTTCTTTGCCTGGGAAAAGTCAAAAGTAGCACGGTTGATAAATGGTATTTAAAAGAAAAAGCATTATTTTAGCAACTTAGGGAACAACATGGTTGGTGTCTGGAAAAAGAACAGAAAATGGTATTGTTTAACATTCAGGGTAACTATTTTCAAGTTCACTATCCACAAGTAGTGTTTTAAGTCCTAATTTCTTTGTTACTCTTTATATCTGAATCTAGCTGAGCATCACTGATTTGCTCTCAAAATTTTCCCTGATTTTAACTTGGCACAAGTACAGTAGATTCTTTTAGCTGCAAATGTCTGCAAAGCAATACATTTGTCATAAAAGAAATATCGTTTTGAGATAAGAAGGCAACACAATTAAATACTGTCTTCAACCTGCTGGAATGAGAACAGATTATTTTACACAACCATTCTGGTTACTCACTTATAACACATGCAATCTGTGAACAATTTCGGTCATTAAAATTTTTTATCTAAAGATAATAATACACTCTATAATCAACATCTGATGCTACTACGTTCTTTCTAGAGGGAAAGAACTAAACACAATTTGTACAAATTCAGACAGACAGCCAGAGGCAACTCTTGAGTTTTTCCTGTTTCAGGCAAACCCAAATAAAGAAATTGAAAGTGAAAGTTGTAAGAAAAATAATATGTAAAAACAAGAATTCCCTAAAACAAAGAGAACAAAACTTGATACCACTGACAATCACAGTAGGAAGAATAAAAGATACTTTGAAATACTGGGTTTACAAGTGAAAAATCTTAATCACATAATGACTAGAAATCTTTATGAAATTTCATCAAGAATAAGGATCTAATTTTTCAATGAAACTAGCTAATTCAAATATGATTTCAAATGTATACTTCTAATTGTTTTCTAATTAAAAAGGTATTGATAGGGAGTTATGTAACTAACTATCTTCAACTCCATCAGTTTTAATATGACATTTAAAATTCATTCCAAATGAAACTTAGGCTGCTTAGTTTAAATACAAAGGGCAGGAAAATACTTTGGTCCAAAGTCTTGTATGTATGAAAATGGAAGAATAAAAATAGTTTTAAAAAATGTCCTAGTGGACATTTAGTAAATCACCATTATTTGCACTACTTGACTACATTTTTATGGAGATATTATATTGGAAAATCAAAATAGCACATTTGCTGTAAACAAATAACGGTTTTTACAGTTTATTTTTTTTTTTTTTTTTTTAATAGAGGCATGCTTTATTTATATTATTTGTTTGTTGTTGTTTATACATGCACTGGGTACAGTCAGAAGCGCGGGAGGTGAGAGAATTCACCAGAGCCAGAGCGGGAGCAGAGCAGCAGAAGGACTGAAGTACACTGCTAGCGGGCGGCAGGAGAGGTCTGCGCGCCATGTGGGACCCTCCTCCAGTGGCCGGGGAGCAGCCGGGGATCGAACCCACTGCTGAGGGGAGCAGCGGGCGGCAGGAGAGGTCTGCGCGCCATGTGGGACCCTCCTCCAGTGGCCGGGGAGCAGCCGGGATCGAAACAGAGGCTGCGGGCAGCTTCGCAACCCAGTGCTCAACCGCTGCGCCACCGGGGAGGCCCGGTTTTTACAGTTTAAAACAACAAGGAAAGGAGAAAGAAGGAACCCGAACTTACAGTATTTTAGTATAGATCTGTGTATTCTGTGCAAGCTTTGAGTTAATGAAAATTTAAATTCAAATTTCATGATGCTTTATAGTTTAATTTGAAATTTACAAAGTCATTCTGGCCTTGACAAAGCAGCAGTAAATGAGGTTGATTTTACTAAATGCCTTAAAATTACTGAAATGAACCAGAATTTAAGACAATAATTTTACTTTTGAATACATAAGTTGACTATGACTTATTCTTTTTAAATTACAATTTTAAATATACTAAAATTCAAATGCATGTGTCAAGCCACCAAATAAGCAAATATTTGTTAATTAGGTAAAACTAAATTCCAGAATCAAACAATCAACTTCTAATTTCTGCCACCAGCAGGAAGCTTAAAGTCCCTTAGAGATAAGTAATATTATCTCTTAAAATTCATATTATCATATTTTAAGATGAACAAAGCAATTAAAACAATTTTTCTTACCTTTCAAAAGCAGGCCATGAGGTCTCTTCACTTAGTTCAGAACCATCACTGCTACCTAAAACCAAAAGTGATTCTATTTTTAAACATCAGAATTATAGTTCAGATTTTATATTTCAAAAATAAATGCTATTCTCAAAAAATTACAACCATGTCATTTGTGGGTAAACATTCACATATTAATTCTTCACTCTAATATTACTGCTGTTAGATTTATTCTGCAACATTTTGGGATATAATTGATAAAATTATCTAAATTAATAAAATAGCAAAACACATTTTTGCATGTCTACTTATAACTCAAACTGATTATCAATATCAAATTGATAATTTTTATACCATCGGAGCATGGTATAAAAAGGTGTTTCATAATTTAAGGCCAATATAATTGTGAAATTCTTAGATAATTGTGAAATTCTTATGATATACTTCTTTCCCTTTTGTATTCTTTTAAAAATCCATTACTAACTTATGAATAAAAAGGTTAATGGAATTTAATTTTTGTCTGTAGAGACAAGGTAGAAAAGAATGAAATCTCTATGTTTAAAAAATGTTACTATAGTAATGTAAAGTATTTCTTTGGCCAGAATATCAGTTAAAATAGAAAGTTTTAAATTAGTTGACCAAAAAATTGAGGGGAATGAGGGGAACGGAGAGGTCAAAACAGCTTAGACTGACTTAAAAGTTATAGCGGTAATTCTAGCTCTCAACAAAATTGAGATGATTAATGTGTTCCTTATGTATCGAGCTGAGTTATCTATCAGACTTTCAAAACCAGGGTTCATGAAAGATGCATACTTTTAATGCTAAACAGCACCCATTATACGTGACGGATTAAAACCTCTTGTATGGACTTAGAATGGCTCTACTTAGGTCCCATCCTTCGAAAAACTGAATACCAATCACAGAAGTAATTTTATGTGGCTATGTTGCTGAGAAAATGATGGTAATCTATTGTTGGTATTGGGATCTTATAGGTTATCTTTTAAATTGTAGCATTATGTGGTAAAGACTAGAAATTTAAACATGATTAATATGAATTATTTATAGATAAGATTTTCCAGCAGCTTGGGGTTCGAATAGATATGCCTTCCTTTGCCAGGTTATCTGGGACATATATATTGTATTAGAAAATGTTAGAGGCCAATGTCCTACACAATGATTAGTTTCTCTAGGCCTCCACAGTACAGTAGGCTGATATTGTATATAAAAGTTATAGTAAAGGGAAAAAACCTTTTGTGATTTAAAAAAATTATATACATTTTACTATTTTAAATTAAAAAAATCTTTTAAATATATATATTTGAACATTATGATTTAACTGGTCTAATTACTTTAATATTTTTCAAAAAGAATATTTATAATTGATACTCCAATTTGGATTAAATGAGTCTCTACTCATCTGTTTTCTGAAGTGTTTTCCAAACAGGAAAACACTCATTGTGCTCAACGATGAACACTTTAGTTGTTATCATTTTGCAGCAGATGATATCTATATGTGGCTTGGAGGTGATCTTAGATATAGTGCACATATGATTAATGGCATTTACTATGCCATGAACTGGAAGTATCTGTAAGCTATGACCCAGGAATCTCTGCTGAATCCTGAACTTTAGTTTCCATTTCTTGGGCCCATGGAGGATAGCAGACAGACCCAAAAAATTACTTTGGTGAGTGTTAATAAACTTTTCAATTTTAGCTAGAAATAGTTCTTCATCAATAAAAGTACAACTCCTTAAGAGATGAGCCAACAATATTGGTGGTTGTCCATTTTACTTTTTCTTTTTACCACTTTCAGTCACCTGTCTTTGGATCAACCAACTTCTAACAGTGCCACAATCTGACCAGCAGATCCTTGGAGTCACTTTAGCTGTTCCCAAGCTTCCAGAACACCTATTAGCAAGAAGTGTCAATGATAGAGCTGAGGTCCAGCAACACTTTTGTGATTTTGGTGGTGGGTGTGGTTTAGTAACAACACTTGAAGGGGGAGATCCTAAACCTCTAAAACACAAACAAACAAAAGATGTGTACATATTAACACCTACCATTTATAGTTATAGACTTACTCTCTTTTCAGAATATTAAAGTTTTAAAAAATCAAACCCTGGAAGGTAATGTCTCTAGATAATGTTCTTAATCTACAAAGATGAAACAATCCTTACTATTTACCTACTTAATGGCCCTACATAATTGAAAAATAAACACAAAGGCAGAAAATTAAAATACTCTTAAAGATCTCCAAATTGAGATACTAAGTGAAAAAACTAGGTAACTATCTGTGGGAATCAGACGAACAATTATAGAAACTAGAAGTTGCAAATAAACTAGACAATACAATCATCATTATAAAGCTTACAATGGGATAAAGTCAAATACTATATATTTGACAACTATAATTTTTAACAAATATTTTTTCTTTAGGTGGCATTATTTTGTGCATTATTTTCAGATTGCGGTTGATATTTGCATATTAGGCAACTCAACACTAATAATCATTTTATGTGGCCCACTCTTCTATTTTGTAAATCATTTAATCATTTTCTGTTATAAAAATGGGACCATCAGAGTGAAAAACTGCTGAATGATGCTGGAAAGCTCTTGAAGCAATTTCCTTTTCAGGGTTTAGAACTCAAGGGTTAAGGAAGTCAATATGCTCAATAAAATGAATTTCTGCAATTTGAAAGGATTGTTCATCCCTAATGACGAACTAATAGTAATAGATTTAGCCTGCGAAAAACCTGGGACTTAGTCAAAAAGACGACATTTTCCTTCCATATTTTTTTTGAAAAAAAAAAAAAAAAAAAAAATAGCACCGCACAGATTTTCTAATTATCAAAGAAATAATACACATCTCGAAAATTCAGAAAATGCAAGTTTAAAAAATAAAAACAAATTCCTCTCTTAATCTTGCATTCTTTTCCAGTATGGCCTTGATTTTCTGCTTCTCTTCATAGTAGCTATCTCTATTTCCTCACCTCTCATTCTCTAACCCACTCCCTTCAGGGATTTGCCCACATTACTCTAGGAAGCAATTCTTGTCAAGGTCTCAAATGACTTTTATCTCACTAAATCCACTGACCAATTCCCCAATCTCAGGCTACTTCTCTTTTTTGAATTTCATATTGGCACATTCAACACTTTCCTCCTCCTGAGACACTGGGCTTTCTGATACCAAAACCTCACTCGCTCCTTGACTGGTCCCTCTCCTTGGTAGTTTCCTTTGATAGCCCATCCTTTAAAATGAAATAGAAGCCTAAATGTTAGAATGTCTTATTTGTTTTACACACTCTCCCTAGGGGACCTCAACCAGTGCCATGGCTTGAAATATTATAAATAATTTAACTTCTATCTTTATATCAATAGACCTGACCTTACCCCACTGAGCTCTATATTCAAACATTCATTTACCTACCTGACAACTCTGTGTGGACCAAACATATCCAAAACAGAACTCTCAGTTTCTAAGCTAGTCTTCATAAATACCTTGCAACCCAACAAATGATTGCTCTTCCAGTCTTCTCCACCTCAATAATAGCACAACCACCTAACTTAAGTGTCCTTTTCCTCATCCCCACATTCAAACTGCATGCAGTAATTAATTAAATCAGTCCACATTCTTTTTCCACCATTCTCTGAATGCCTCCCCTTTCGGAATTAAAAAAAAAGGAAGTAATTTTTAAACCATCATGAATTATTAACTTCAGTAGCTACTAGTGAGATGCTCTATATCTAACTGCTACCTTGCTTTTGTCAAATTTTCTTTATTTGTAGTAGGGTTAATAACTTTTTCCACTGGAGTTATAGTAAAAGTTTCATTTTTATGTAAGTTGTAACCCTCACAGAGAAGTATTTCTCACCTATTGATATTCCACTAGAAAGAGTAGAACTTTCAGCATGACCTCGCGATGGTGCATGGGGCTCCATGACGCTATCATCTAACAGATGTCTTGGCCCTGCATTTGGGAATGTTGCACTCTTAAACTCTGCTGTATTCATTTTATGAATGAAACTGAAAATAAAGAGAAATATTTTTACATTTTTTATTACTGTTATTAATTCAGGATATAAAAGATAGTCTTATATAAAGATTCAGGTCATAAAACATTTATCTGCTATACTGAACAATTTCTGAACTCTCATACTAATAATGAACGCACAGGTTTTATCATAATGACCTAAAACAGGTTTAGGGAAAATTTTTTTGGAGACCAGACCATATCTATCTATAAAATGGAGAATACATAAATATCATCTTTAGTCTCAGTTGCACTAAGTTTTTTCATGTTAACTTTTGGAAACTAGTTATTAAATTTTCACACAAATCAGGTGAACCATAGGTTCCATTTTGAGAAAACAATCTTGTAAAGTTAATGAAGTTAAACAACAACTAGTTTCCTTTCCTTTGCATTTAGAATAAAAATAAAATTTTATAGGCCTTAACTTATGGTGATTAAGACAAGCAATGACTGTCTTGACACTAAAGATAAAAGTTAAAAGGAAATGGTATTATTGCTTTCCTGATTTTATTTATAATAACACTGTAATGTTCACTTTATCTCCCCCAAATGTGGAGGTACTGTTGGGAAACTCATTTCCAAATTAAGATACAGGAAGAAATAAATGCTTTTAGGCAAACCTTTATACTGAATTAGAAAAAGCCTATTGTCATACAAATCAAACTATGCAAAGACAGTATTTTCTACTAAGCTAATCAAACAAATAGAAAACAAGTCCATTTAGAAAAAAAACTGAAAAATCTGAAAGACAAAATTAAAAATGCTGACTTATAACCCAAGCTGTGGCACTTCCTATGTCCATGTGGAATAAGGTTTCGAGGGGATGGCGGTGTTTGTGGTAGCAAGGTTCCTTCAGCTGCCACACTTTTTCTTGCACTTTGTGGAGATGCTCCAACTTCAGGACCTAAGAGTTACGTGGAGGCAGAGGGAGAGAGAGTAAAGGGAAGGGAAGAAGAGGAGAGACAGATATTGATTCCAGTAGACCAAGAATTGTTTCATTTTTCATCTTGATATAAAATGTGGTTTGTATTTTAAGATATTAGTTTAGCTCTATTTCATTCACTGAACAGGACAAATATTTATTTTCTAAGACTTAAAACACAAAACCCCAAAACATGAAATTCATTAATTTCTATCTACCATACTTGTACTAAAGAGGCAGTATAACTATTTTCCTCATTTACAGAGGTCAAAATAGAAGAGATAAATTCAGCATCTCATATAACAGATCAAGCCTGGATTAATCACCCAGGTCTTCGGAATCCTAGTTTGGTGCTCTTTTAATTTTTCACATTGATCCCTTAACTCTTAGTTTTAGCTTCCTCTTAGATAAGGAACTTTAGGAGAGATCAAGCATTTGAGTTAGAATTTAGCTCTATATTGACATTGTTCAAACTTATGGAAATAAGAAAAAACTCAAAGTGAATTTGTAAGCTATCACTTTAAGAATAAAGGAGAAGCAAATTTAAGAAATTCAGCCTGAAATGTTTTTCTCTGCTTGGAATATTCTTCCCTCTGGGTATTGACAAGGCTTATTTCTTAACTTCCTTCATACCTTATTAGATGGGCCTTTAAATATTTTTACAATATATAGTAACATGAAGTTTAGTGCCAAGGTCTGTATTTGAAATTTTTTAAAAGACATTTATCAATGATTTCTTAAACAATAAATAATTCTCTTAAATGTCATACTTTTGATAGTGTGTCAGATACTTAATTCTCATTAAGTGCAACACATAAATTAAGGAGCTATTTTTAATACTCTTAGTAGTTGGTGCAGAGTGAAACTAAAAAAAATCAAATCATTAACAATGACTTCTATTAAATATAAAAATCAGTAGACTTTGCCCCTCATAACACAGAATTTTCTAATGTTACCAATCCTCATTGTCTAGGATGGTGTATTCTTAATTAAAAAGAACAGCTATTCATAAATACCTCATATTTTCTATTTGTTGTTCTATTTTCATTCACTAGTTGGCTATTTGAACATTACTGACACTGTAGTAAGTAAAACTGTTTAATTAAAAAAAAAAATACCAAACAGAAAAACAATGATAGATGTTAATACCAAAAATAAATTTTTGAATGAAGTATAAAATGTGCTTAAGTATTTATTTACTTCACTTTGGAGTACATGCTTTCTTTGTCTGTTATCTGATTTATCATTTGGTAATGAGCGAAGACTATGCACTAACCTACTAAATCTTCCCTGGAAGCAGCAGAACGTGGTGTGCTTGTACCTGGTTCTATCTTTAAGGAAAGTCTGAATTTTAAAAAGAAACAAAACACAAAGTAATTAATATTTGACAAAATAATATTAAACATTTAAAAATATTATTTATATTGATAAATATGTAACATTTTAAAAAAATATTAAAAGTGTATTTTCTCACACAAAACTTAATTTTTATAATTTCAGTATATTTTTTTAAGAGCAATTTTTAAGTTAAGACTATTTCTTTCATACAAAGCCGATCTTAAAGTTTATTGCTGGGAATATTAGGGAGAGGGAAAAACATTAAAAGTCATTTAAAAATAGAAACCCTCCCCTACCCCCCAAGATGACGCTAACATATCTAAACAATTCAATACCTTTAAAGATACTTGGTGAGTGACTAACAGGTGATCTAACTCAAGGTTATAGTGATAACCTGACACAAATTCAGGAAATTTCACATGTTAATAAAAATATTATGCAAATTTTTTCTAGAATCTTAAATAGGTGTGCTAATGGCTTCTGTAGCACTGAAAATTTTAAAAAAATCTTACCTAAAACTAGCCATTTAAAAATTCAACCAACTTAACTCATCAAAATAAAGATCTGTATAAATAAAAAGGGTGTTTGCAAAATTCCTGGTAAATTTCAGGAATGTGGTAATATGATAAATTATATATACAAATATATACATATTTGTGCATATATACCTATTTGTGCATACAAAGTATTATAAATTATACCATAAATCATATACATTTTTCATAAATTATGTCATAAATTATCACATACAATGATATTATAAATTTATCATAAATCATACATCATATATGATAAATTTATCTTAATATATCCAGTTTTGAGAAGTTCCACAGCAAAAAATTAGGATTCCTATCAGTGGAAACTATTTTAGGAAATAGGAAACTTTGGTACAGTCCAGAAAGCCTATCATCATGAAGCCTTTGTCTGAAAATCATGGCAATTTATAGAATGCTACCATACACCATACTAAATGGAATTTTATATAAAACTGAACAATACAAGTAACATTCCTAGTGATAGATCTATTGTAGGTTCTTAGCTTATTATTTCTTTGATAACCTAAGAGGAATTATATATGATTATATTCTGATTATTTGATAGCATAAAATGCATATGTTAAACTGATAGATGATTAATCAGAACTCTGCTCTTTTTCCTCTGACAGAGCAGTTTGTTTATTTTAGTTACAAACTATATTGAGTTAATTCATTTGATAAATAGGCTTTGTGCTGGCATCTAGGGTCAGCACTGCAATATTAACAAACTGAGGCAGATTTGATGTTCCTGGCCTTCTGAAGCTCACAATCCAGTAGGTGAAAGACAAAGGAATAAACAAAATAAACACTATTTCCTAAAACAGAATCCAAATAGAAGGGAATAGATAGGAAACTATGGGTGAATCACTCTGCTATCAGTAGCAGCTGGTAACTGACAGCAGTGTGAAAAGCAGAAGCATATTAAAAAGTAAAGCAGTAAAGGGTAGTCAGAGCGTCAAGCTCCACATCATCAAAGCACCATATAGTAAGTGAGGCTGACTCAGTGAGAAAAGATATTATATTCAGTATGAAAATGAAATAACTTATGAAAGGGCCTTCTTGGTGGAGAAAGGTTTTCATCCTGATTAAAAATTTGTAATATTGATATCAACTGCCTATATAGATGATGTCTTTGAATAAATTAGTGTAATTTTTATATAAATCTGTCCATCTTTCCTCATAAAAACTACTTTCTACCTGATAATCTTATGGTTCTTATCTTAAAATACGCTGATTTTCACCACATTTAATTAGCTGGCTCAGGTAACACAACCGCATCTTTAGAAAAACTATCTTCTCCAGAGCCTCATATGAAGCCCCAACATCAGATTACTTGTACTTCCCCAAGGGAATATAAGTGTTTCTCACACTATTTCTTTGATCATTATCCCAAAGAATCTTTTCCTTATCCTTCATGTGGAGTTAATTCCCACATAGCCCCAAAGTTTTAGCCTCAGATGACACTGACTCCTGAAGCCGATCATATTTCTTTTGCAACATGATCGTAATTCAAAATTCTTTATTCCTTAGGAAGTATGGTGGATGGTAAGCAGATAGAAATAGATAGCTATTTGGAAAGTCATTTTTAAATCCTTAAAAAAGAACTTTCTATGACAAAAAAATGTATAAGTATGGTGCTACATTGGACAAACACAAGTATGTTTTTGCTAAAGACATGAGGTTGAATATTTCCTCAATCCACAAAAACAGTTGAAAACAAGCCCAAAGATGTATAAAAAATTACCATAAAAGGAATAATTATTCTATTTTTAGACTTTCATAAATTTTTCACTGTATTAAAAAATAAATTTCCATAAAGATCCAATGCTTGACTATAGAAGGAAAGGAAGAAGTTTAGAACTATCAAATATCAGGTCTTTAACAGGTTGAGAAAGATGAAATATATATATTTTTTAAATTTTGTGTAGAAGAACTGGGGTATAGGCAGAGGTGTGGAGGGTTGAGAGGATTCACCAGAGACAGACTGGGGAGCAGAATAGACAGATTTACTTAAATACAATGCCATTGGGAGCAACAGGTAAGACAGGAGAGGTCTGCTGCACCATGTGTCTGCTGCTCTCTGGCCTCTCTGGCTGGGGGTAGCTCTGAGACTTAACCCCGAGGCCATCAGGGAGGTCCAGATGAAATACTTTGTAATAAAACAACAGGTTCCATCATAACAAGTGACTATAAAGAAATACCTTAATACCTTTATCATTGTAAATGTATAGCTGGATTAGGCACTTGTATAATAAAATGGCGGCTTTAGATATTTAAATACAAGATAAAAGGATGGAGGACAGGACAAAGTTATACAAACCACTTTTGAAGATCCAACCTACTTGTAATTATCATCCTCAACAAACTTTTGTAGTTCTTCTATATACTGAACAGAGTTCAGATATTTTTGGACATGAGGCAACATGGGTATATCTAGGCAAAATATGATAATTAATTAATTATATAATAATAAATACCTGGAATTTTAAAAGTTAAATTGACAAAATATATTTGGAGGTAAACTAAGGCCACATGGCACCAAAATTTAAACTAATTCTAGAAGGAAATCTGTTTAATGCAAAACCAAAAAAAAAAAAAAAAAAAAAACCTTAGAAAATTACAATTGCAGGCTGTGTGCAAAGATTTAGAAGTAAATAAAGTTTATTAATAAGGTCCTACATAGCTGAGAAATTTCTTTAAAAAAAAAAACAAAAGCCTGAGACTTCATTGTGATTCATATTGAAACCTCATTTAATTGCAAGATGTAAGGGCAGTTTTGTTTCTTTTTCTAAACTTCTTTTTAAAAGAAGCCTGGCTCCATTTGTTAACATGGTTTTTCTTCCCCTATTTAGAAATCTCTTTTAATATTAATTTAACATTACAATTTGGTGTTAAGTTAAAAAAAAAGGGAAAAATAAATGAATACTCTACATGAAGCCTATGTATGTAAAATTGGCTTTAGGACAAATTTATTTAAAATTTATTAAATAATGTAAATTCACCTTTTTAATACCATAAACATGATATAGCAAGTCTATTTTTATTCCCCATCAAAATAAAAGCATTCAAACATTTAAAAACATTAAAACAAGCTGTGTTCTAATCATATGAACTTGCTAAAGCTCTTTCTGCATACGCTTCCATAAAATAAATATTGGACAAAAACTGGTTATTTTTCTCTATAACAGACTCAAAAAAGTTAGCCAACTGTTGCTATAATCAAGGACCTCAACTCCTTTCCTAACCAAAAAATTTAAGATTTATTTACTAGATCAGAGTGATCAAGTGAGATGAAGATACTAGAAAACAATGTTGCAAATTATGTTAGTATAGTTACTACAAAATAGCAGAAGAGCAAAAGATAAAACTTAAAAATTTAAATTTTAAATACTCTAATTCCTTAAAGGCAGGCCCTGAAAAAAGATGTTAAATACTAGACAGGAAATAAAGCTACTATTATTTTCCTTTATGGTAGGATGGATATAAGACACTGATGTTTCCTGTATGTGCAAGTGTCCACGAACATCAACAGAACCATAGCGTGGTAATAGCTGTGCAGTACTCACCATATTCACAGGATTGCTGTAAATCAGAAATTATTCGAAGGATATTATTCATTAAATTTGATCTTTGCTCATTTTCTAGAATGCTGCCAGTTGATGGATATGCTGAATCGATGTATGTTAAATCTGACAAATAGATACCTGAAACAAAGGGAGATAAATGAGTGTTTTCCTGCTTATAGCCTGAAGAGTATGACAAAAGGGGAAGGGGCAATGAATTTATAGCTTAAGTCCAATATTTCACTATATGCTGTATTTAGAATATACTGTTATTACTTTGCAGCCTTGTTAAAACATGAAGCTTAGATGTCATTGAGGTGGGATCAGACATGTAAATATTTTTTTTTTCGGTAAATGTCTTTTTGTGATACCATTTAAAGCATAGCTTGAGACTGGAGTTAGAAACTCCAGCACTCCTGAGCCCTAATAGAAAAAGCCAAGTTCCTGAACTGGCTTTGCCTCCAACTATTGATAATTGTGTATAATGCAGGAAATTCTTTAAATTCCGAAATGCAGTTTTGATAATTACTATCACCTGAGTCGTAATGGCTTTGAAAATTGTCTCTGGTAGAAACACCCTAATTTAAAGATTAAAAACCAACTTTCTGAAATAGTTCATGTGGCTACAAATTGAACTTAACCCACCTCCCTCATTTCTCTGTACCAACAAAAAGAATATATCCCCACACCCACTGCCAAAATAATTTAGTTGGAGTTCTACTGGATATGCAAGGTCCTTTATCTTACAGTATTTCCTGAATTTACCATGTGCATGTAAAGCATATACAACAACTATAGTTGGGAAGAAAAATACACTTTCCTACTTTAGCTCATTACATCATTGTCCATGAAGTCTCAGTGAAAATGATGTACTCACTGCTTTCCAGATAAGTCCTGTTTTTTCTCATGCTATTTCTTCCCTCCTGAATGTTGTAGACTCATTCTGCTTACCTGAATACATTTTATATCTAGTTTAATGTCAAGTTTTCAGTGATTCCAAGAAATTATGAAATTGTCTAGTCTAACCCCTTTTTATAGATGAAAAATCTGAGGTCCACAGATGTTAATGGACACATCTTCATGCTGTGTTACCTGTTAGTGAGAACTGAACCTCAGGTTTTACATGTACCTCAGTTTTTTTATTACACTGTTATTAACTCAAACAGTTCATTTGTTAATATTTATGACTTTATATTATCTTGATTTGTTTACATTTTCTCATATTTTATCTGTTCAATAATACACATTCATTTAAAGCAGTTGCTCTATCTTGTACCCTAAGAAAATGAAAATCCTGTGTAGTTTTGACAATAGGTGTTTAATACCATGTAAAAGCTGGCATGGTGATCCTTTTAGTTATCTTAGTATTATTCCTTTTCCATTCAGTAAGCCTTTATATTATTCCTTCAGCCTTTATAGATTCTTATCATAAGTACTTATTTTCTTCAGAAATTCTCGACTTCTTTTTTTAAATGATTCCAACTCCAAATGAAACTATAGCCTTAGCTTCATTCCTTTTCCTTTAATCGCAGAGAAAGAAGAATCCCCTTCTTCTTTCCAAACCTAATCTGAATGTAATTGCTATTGCTTCCTTCAAAATACCCAGAGTTGTGTCCAGCTTCACTCATCCTCCATTGGTTTCTCTCCCAAAGGCAATGCACACACTTACATTTACCCTACTGAAGAGAGCAGATAGTATGACAGAAAGTAGGAGCCCAAAAAGTTTTATATAGAAGCAGCAATTATCAGCAGTATAATTAGTAATTATATAATCCACTGAACAATAATGTGACATGTTTTGGAGTTAGATTTAAATTCTACTTATTCCTTATTACTGATGAGCTAAACCTAATTACTTAAGATGTCTATTTGTGTCTCCTCAGCATTTTAGTTAATCAATCAATAATTCTTGGTTTATTAAAATAACAGCATAGTTGGTAATCAACAGCTACTAATTTTTTTTTGGCACCCTAATTTCACAATTAGTGAAGTATTAGTAGTATTTAAAGTAACTGATCTCAGCTTTCAGAGTCAGTGGGGAATAGGTACTTTCTTTCTCTCCCCTATTCTGTCCAGAGTTATGTTAGCTTTTAAATTACAACATATCATGGAATAGAATTGAAAGCTCGGAAATAAACCTGCACTTATATGGACAGTTAATCTATGATAAAGAAACCAAGAATATACAATGAAGAAAGGAAAGTCTCTTCAAAAAATGATGTTGGGAAAGCTGGACAGCTACATGCCAAGAAACAAAAAACAAAACAAAACAAAACAAAAATACCAAGATTAACTCAAAATAGATTAAAGATCTAGATGTAAGGAAATGAGATTAAAGACTGAGATGTAAGACCTGAACCCATAAAATACACAGAAGAAAACAGGAAAATCACTCCATGACACAGGGCTCAGTATTGACTTTGGGGACTGGACTGAGATAGCAAGGGAAACAAAAGTAAAATAAACAAATGGGACTACATCAAATGAAAAAGCTTCTGCATAGTGAAAGAAACTATCATTATAATGAAAAGATGTCCGACCAAATGGGAGAAAATATTTGCATATCAAACATCTGACAAGGGGCTAATATTCAAAATCTATAAAGAACTCATACCAACTCAACAAAAACAAATAACCCAAAATAATCCTGTCAAAAAATGGGCAGAAGAGCTAAAAAGAAACTTCTCTGAAGAGGAAATACAAATGGCCAACAGGCATATGAAAAAATGTTCAACATCACTTGTAATCAGGGAAATGCAAATCAAAACTACCATGAGATACCATCTCACACCAGTGAGAATGGCACATATTAAAAAAACTAGCAACAACAAATGTTGGCGAGGTTGTGGAGAAAAAGGAACTCTCCTGCACTGTTGGTGGGAGTGCAAACTGGTCCAACCACTATGGAGAGCTGTGTGGAGATTTCTGGACCTACTAAACATAGAGCTTCCATATGATCCAGCAATTCCACTCTTAGGTATTTATCCAAAGGATACAGAAACATCAACTCCAAAGAGCACCTGCACCCCTATGTTTATAGCAGCACTGTTTACAATAGCTAAGCTTTGGAAACAACCCAAATGCCCAAAAATAGATGACTGGATCAAGAAGATGTGGTACATATACACCATGGAATATTACTCAGCATTCAAAAAAGATAAACACATGCAATTTGCAGCAACATGGATGGCGCTGGAAGGGATCATGCTCAGCGAAGTAAGCCAGAAAGAAAAAGAAAAATACTGGATGGTCTCACTCATAGCAGGAATCTAAAAAACTTAAATAAGGGACCAGGAAAATGAATAACTGTAAGAAAGTAAAAATCACAATCAACAAACAACTATGAACCAGAGACACTCTATGAGGGGTGGGGGGCGGGGCAGGGAGGGATTGGGGTCAAAATAAGGGGGCTGCAATTGTATGGGGAATATAAAAATAAAATTAAAAAAAAAAAAAGGTCAGAAAAGATAAATAGGCACTTCTCCAAAGAAGACATATAGATGGACAACAGGCTTATGAAAAAATGTTTAACATCACTTATCATCAGGGAAATGCTAAATCATCAAAACCATAATGAGATACTATCTCATACCTGTGAGAATGACCGATATAAAAAAGTTAGAAACAACAAATGTTGGTGAAGGTGTAGAGAAAAATGAAACTTGCACAATTTTGGTGGCCTATAAACTAGTTCAGTTCCTATGGAAAAGGCTATGGAGGTTCCTCAAAATATTAAAAACATCTACCATGTGATCCAGCATTTCCACTCCTTGGTATTTATTCAAAGAATGCAAGCACACAAAGGTGTGTACTTCTAGGTTACTGCAACACTATTTACAGGTTATGGAAACAACCTCAATGCCCAATAACAGGTGAGTGGGTTAAGAAGATGTGGTATATATAGAGTAGAATACTCTCAGCTATTAAAAAAAAAGAGAGAGAGAGAGAGATTAACTCTTGCCATTTGCAACAACATGGATGGAACTGGAGATTATGCTAAAGGAAATAAATCAGAAGGAGAAAGGCTCATACCTGAGATTTCACTCACATGTGGACTACAAAGAAATAAAACAAAGGAATAGACAAAACTAAACCAAAACAAACCCTAGAAGTCTGAATGGAGAAGTTAGCCTACTAGAGGGGGAAGGTGGGAGGTGAGAAGCAAAATGGGAGGGAATCCAATTTCTATAGTGGACCATTATGGGGTACACCTTGGTGGTTGGGATGGTGTGACAACATACATCTGCAGCAGGGTGAAATTATTCCCCTAAACACTGTAAATCAATGTTACCTAAATTTAAAAAAAGTTCCAAAAAAGTCAGTGTCTGTACTATTATTAATAATAGTTCACTTTATACATTCTAATCAATATGTATACCTCAATAAATTAAAAACTATAGTCTCATAAAAAAATTACACACATCAACTAACAAGAATGACCTTATTCAAACAAGAGTGGTCATGTTATAGGAGGTGTTCTGTAACACCAGTGAAGTTTAAAAAGTATTAAACCCCTGGAAGAATTTTATACACAGATTTCCACTTATTTTTGATAATTATATATAAGCACAGTTTTAAGAAACTACACAGTAAGATAAAGCATATCACAGCACCAAAACCTTCTGAAAGGGAAACTTAGTAAAATGTTTAAAAATTCTAAAAGAGTATTATACTGTTTAAGTGGTTGCTTCTTGACAAAGAGCAGCTCTTGCTCTATCTAACAAAAATCAAACTCATCAGCCTGCAACTCCTTCTAAGTGCAAGTAAGTAGTAATCTTTCAGTCTTTAACTTAAAAGCTCTGGCCAGCAGAGTCAATGTTTGTTTTATAATTGCTTGCTGAACTATGATAGTTTGTTTCCAGATGGTGCCCTTCCTTCAACCTGCACACAGTCTCTCCTTGTTCCCAGCTAGTCAGCCTCCTGCTGCTCCCACCACCCCCGCCCCTATTTCATGCCACTGAGAGGAAATCCTAAGGAGGAGATTTCCCCCCACTCCAGTCTCCAGCAGTTTTTTTGGTGACGTAATATGTGGGCTGAACTTGAGTCTACTGAGAGAGGGAATCACTATTTAGGGCCCTGTGTATACAATCTGGTCAGCTGCAGCTGGTTACCCAGCGTCTCCATGTGGCAGACAGAGCAAAGCCACAATGCTTTCTCTGCTGGATTAAAGACAACCCACAGAGCAGACCGTCCACTCTGCTACTTAAAATTACATAGGTGGTTTGTCAAATTCAATTGATTAGTACTCTAAGAAGAAAAAGAACTTCCTTAACACAGCTTGGATTCCACCATCCAAAACAAAAATGCAATTGCCATTCAAGTCACAGATGAACAAATGTCTACACTGATTTTTGAAAGCAAGAATAAGAGCAACAAGTTTCTGGGTTTCCTTTATCAACAGATTAAAAAAAGGTATTTTAATATTTCTTTTATCTTTATTTACAACTTCTATGTATGTTGAAATGCATAATTATTTTACATCTGTAGCAATTTCAAAATCTCTTGTTAAACAATTTTAGAATATACTATAACTTATTTCATCTGAAAGAGGTTTTGTTTTACATCTTTTTATGAAGGCTGTTCATTACATACTTTCAATTTTAGCATTATATGAAGTCCAATTTAATGATATTTAGTGCATATGTTTACAGATTGATTTATAGTACCGGGTTTCAGAATACAATGCTTTAGTGAAACTATTAACACGTAATAGAGTAAATGTATAAGATTTATAGTGCAGTGGTTAAAAACAGAAACTAAAGAAAATGGCAAACGTGCTTAATTTCTCTTCTTGTAGCTATAGTGTAAGATTTACATATATTGTTATATACCTTATATCATAGCTACAAAGCAGGGCTAAGAAGATAAAAAAATAACTAAAAGGCTTTGCAACAATACCTCAATTATAGTAGTAAACATACTTAAGATAAATCTGTGGTATTTTTTCTTGCAATTCAACTTTTAAATATTCAGGTTTACATGTAAACCTGAAAAACTTACTAGGTGATAGAAATTAAAACTGCTACAGCTGGAATTACTTGGACAAGCAAAGTTACTGATACATTAAAAAAAGAACTAAAAACCTTACAGATTAGTACTGTAGAGGAAAAGTAAAATGCGATAGAGTATTATATGAGTAGACGGTTTTAACAATAGAAAATAAGAACCTAGAGGAGATAATTAAAAACATGATTAGAAGATCAAAAATTTATAATAATTTAGGTAGAAATAATTGGAGTAATTATACACAAAAGGTTTCTTTATTCTATCTGGAGGCTTTGTTTTATTATGATTGGTGTTAAAAATAAAATTATTTGTTACCAAAAATAAGCTTTAACATCAAAGACATTTAAGTTTGTTAAGATTTAGGGATCCTCTGTCCTTTTAAAAACTAAAGACATCAATGGTAAAAGTCTTCAATATGCAAGTAATAGTAATGCAAAATTCTTAGTCCTGGCCTCTCTGTTAAACACAAATTTTAAAAGAAATTTTAATAAAATTTCTAAGCAACACTGGATTTGATCTATTGTCATCTCTCTGTGGTGTTTGCTGTGATAAGTTCAGATCCTCATTAAGCCTCAGTTTTCACTAAAGTAGCAACCTAAATCATACAGACTATTTATTCCTTTCTTAAATATCTCCAGGAGATGAGATTATTTTCAAGTCTCTTACCAGAAGGAATTCACAATCTAGAAGTTCTGTACCTAAGGTAATCATCAATGCTTCATAAATTTAGGTTCATTGCCTCTATGTGTTTACTACCTAAAAGGAAGTAAATCCTGACCTTTATTTCTTCTCTCTCCTAGCTGGCAATGTAGCAACTCTGAAGAGAAATAATACCAATAAAATTAACCCAAAGTATGGAAGACTTTTTTTCCTTCCAAAACCAACCAATCAAAGACACAGATTCAAACTTAAGTATGCTGTAACTAATTTATAACATTCTCTTGAGACCTAGGAAAGTCTTAACATATACAGAAAGATTTTATGAGGTAACACAGATTTATGGATCTTTCACTTTTAAAACTGAACATATGTGGGAAAATATTAAATAAGAGAATGTTTTCAGAAAATGTAACAGTAAATGTATTTTTAAAACCAGTTCTTTACTCATGACGTATCCAGTCTACTACTTAAGAAATGTGGCTCCTTATTCTCCTTTAGGTGATAGTGACGTCAACTTTTGTAAGAAGAAAATAGTATTTATTTAAAAAAAAAAACACACAATTATCTCCTTTAAATACTAACCTAGATTCTCTTATGGCAGAGAGTGATTTAATCTTATCATTTAATTATACAGGAGCTCAGAAAGAGCCAAGCCAGAACACACCAAAAGAAAACTATTGCTAATTTAGATTAGTATTTTGACATTTTTGGTTTTCCATGACAACACTGATGCAAAGCCAGGATAACAGCCTTGGATTGTATGCTCTTTGTTGTTTTAGAAATATCTGTGTTTGGTAGGGATACATGCTATTCAATCAGAATATTGTTCATAAAATTTTATTTGTTCTGAAATTTCATGACACTTTATTTTCCTTGTTTTGGCAGCTTATTTCATAGTAAATATTTAAATAAAATAATCTTAAGGTATAAAAGTCTCTATTTTACTATTCAAGTGAAATTAGTAGAACTTAGAACTAGTTAACTATTTAGGAGAAGTGCTGTACATTTACTAGGTGGTTGATAGCTATTTTACTGCCTTCAGTTTTTAAAATAAACCATATCTAAATGTCATACATTAAAAAATATCAAAAGGAGATATTAGTAGAAAGTAGTAATGATAGTCCACAGTACACTGACATAATCTTTGTTTTGGGGAGGAGGGTTCAGAGTCACAACTTTGACAAATAACTATCAACTGACAGAATACATATGCAGGGAAAGGAAATACAGCAGAAATGTTTGGAGTGTAAAAATGATGGAAATGGATCCTAACAAAAATGATCCACAAATACTTTTACATAATTAAGTAAATGGTTCAATGCAAAGAGGCATGAACGAGGAAAAGCCTATGAAAGACAAAGTTAAGACTGCTCTGTAGTTCTGACATCTTTAGGATAAAAATCACAGGTTGAGGAAAGTTACAAGTAGATTTGAATTCCATTTGAATGTTTTAACTTTTCTAGGACTTTATTCCTTTGCAAAATGGTATAGCTAGCACTACATACCCAGAAGTGGATGCCAGTTTCTTCCTCTGAACATGGTGCTAGCAATAATCTGCCCTCAGAGGGCTGTGTGAGAAATAAGTGGTTTAATGCACATAAGACACTTAAAACAGTGCCTGGCACTTAACAGTAAGTATGACCTATTATTATTGTACTGCTATTATTAACAGTAGGCATAATTATCTTGGGGCCTGGCTTCTCCAATCAAAAACAAGTACTTGGGTAGAAAATAGGACAATAAAGTTCTGAGTTAGTGTGTCCTGCTATCATTCAAGAACAACATCTCAGAGAGGAATCAAGTTTAGAAGAGTGGGAAGGTGGGTTTGCTGATGAACTTGATGGAGTGGTACTCTGTCTTATCCATTTACTAACACTTTTTTCGGGGCTAACAAAAGAGAAAGGAAGATGCTTTGCCTCTTGGAACTATTGTTTCTGTGGTTGTCTTTATAGAAATTTCACAATAAAGGACAACTATTTCTCATCTGTCACAGCAAAAATCAAACATTTTCAGCACACATTTTAGCCTATGTGTCAGTCATTGCTGTAAACACTGCAGAGCCAGGAAAAATGAACTTCAAACCTGGCTCTATTATTACCTACATGTATGGCCTTGGTCCTCAACATGCTCATAGGTTCAAAGAGGTTTTCAATGAGATGGTCTCTAAGACACTTTCCAACCCTTAACAGTCTCATTAAGCTACAGAGTTTCTTTCCTTGGTAATGGTTATAGAAAGTTATTAACATTTTACTAAAATACAGTTCAGTAGAAAACCTGGTAGAAGAATGAACTGCTGAATCACATGTGAATTTAGACCTTACATAGGGTCATGGGTTACCAAACAAAATTACCCAAGATAATTTGTTACCAATCCCTAGGACATACCACAAGACCAAAAAAACATATGCTAAAACTTTCTGGTTTTACATTTGTCTACCACTGGGTACCATTTTCAGAGTCAAACTACTAAGCAAGCTTTTTAAAAGTAAGAAAAGTCTTAGCAGGGTCTCAAAAAAACCCCAAACCAATAAACTGTCTGCCTTTGCATGTAGTGAGAACTCACCAAAACTGGCTTAATGAACTTGGTAGCAAAAAACATTACTACCAGGTGGTAATTGGGCAAACTATTCTCTAAAATTTAATTTTAAAGAAAGTTGAGAGACTATAACATTGAATTTAAGAAATTCACAATGTTAATTCTGACCCAATTTATTAATCCAGTATATTCAGCTTTTCCCTTAGATACTATTCTTTGTTACTGACTTTAAGAGTGATTTGCATTCTTTTTACTTTTTCCCTTCATTGGTTCATGTTTTAAAAGACATCATTCAACCTCATTTCAAAATGAAGGTTTTTATCTGGACCCTAACTGTGCTGTTCTTCCTACTCATGGACACTGGATGTTGCAAAGGCGGCCAGATCAAAATTAAAAAAATAGCCCAGAGAAGATACCCTCGTGGCACAGATGGTAAAGAGGAAGCAAAGAAATGTTCTTATACATTCTTGGTACCTGAACAAAAAATAACAGGGCCAATTTGTGTCAACACTAAAGGGCAGGATGCTGGTGCCATTAAAGACATGATCACCAGGATGGATCTTGAAAACCTGAAGGATGTGCTCTCCAGGCAAAAGAGGGAGATAGATGTCCTGCAACTGGTGGTGGATGTAGATGGGAACATTGTAAATGAGGTGAAGCTGCTGAGAAAAGAAAGCCGTAACATGAATTCTCGTGTTACTCAACTCTATATGCAACTATTACATGAGATTATCCGTAAGAGGGATAATTCACTTGAACTTTCCCAGTTGGAAAATAAAATCCTTAATGTCACCACAGAAATGTTGAAGATGGCAACAAAATATAGAGAACTAGAGGTGAAATATGCTTCTTTGACAGATCTTGTCAATAACCAGTCTGTGATGATCACTGTGTTAGAAGAACAGTGCTTGAGGATATTCTCCCGGCAAGACCCCCATGTGTCTCCTCCTCTCGTTCAGGTAGTGCCACAACATATTCCTAGCAGTAATCAGTATACGCCTGGTCTGCTGGGAGGTAATGAGATACAGAGGGATCCAAGTTATCCCAGAGATTTAATGCCACCGCCTGATCTGGCAACTTCTTCCACCAAAAGCCCTTTCAAGATACCACCAGTAACTTTCATCAATGAAGGTGAGTTACCTATTCTGCTAAAAAAAGGGAAGTATAGGGGGAACTATATTTTATGGTTTATGAAACAATGCTCATAATAAATGCTTTAGTCTCCATTTCGGTGATGTAATTATACATGAACATTTCTATTTTTTGTTTTTTTAATTAATCATGTACTAAACTTCAATATATCTCCCAGTTTTAAGTCTCAAAATTTGTAAAAATAGTGTATTCTGTGAAAAAAGTAGTCTTCCACACAAATGCTTACAAACTAAGTTACTAGCACAGAGACAGGAATGAGTTCACACTCTACTCCTGACCTCGAGAGTACTGCTCTATAACCCACAGTCCTCCAGCTAGGTCTTCACTTCTACCCAACAATTCTTTTATATACCTTGCTACCATCATTTCCAAAAGGGATTTAAAAAATCTGCTTTCACTCTCCATAAGCCCGTTACATACCTCCATCTTACTTTCACTCTCAGCATATGTATCATCTACTGCTATTTTGTCATTAAGTCTACACTCAGGTCCTAGGTTCCTCCATCTCGAAAACATTTGTACAAAACCATTATCATTTTGTCCTCAGTCTCAGCCTTATCTTCAAGGCTAAACAAACTTTTTGTACCTTATAACCGCAGAAGCATAAATACATTTGCACTACAATTAAAAAGCAAAACAACAAAAACTCACATTGATACTAATATCCCTATGTTGGTTTCTTAATTGTAGTCCTTCCTCCCTCTATTCATTCCATATCAGTCACTGATTGAGAATACAAAGATGACATCTTTATTTCAATTTAGTAATAAGCTCACTGCTAATTTTATGAATATTTTTACATTTATTTACATCTGTATCCATTTTCTTGTAAGTCATTCTACTCCTGAAAGCTTTACAAGTTAGTTTGTTTCTTTAAGAGTGATGGGGAAAACTCAAATGTCCCCCTCCCCCCCAAAAAAATAGTAAATAAAGCATAATTCATTCACCGAGTGAAAAGAAAGGCAGGCTATAAAACTGCACTTGACTATGAACAGAACACAAAGACAGATTAGAAAGAAACACATCACGAAGTGCTCGCATCTCTCAGGGGCACCCAGGACACTACTGGCAATCCACACTTCTGCCCTCCTGGGATTCCATATTTTAATTTGAAATATAAAGACTCTTCAACTTCTCTAGGTCCTTCACTCCTTTTCCTATGGTCTAAAAAAGCTTTCTTCAAAATATTCTATTCTGAAGTCTCACATACCTTCAAGGTACAGATGATTCCTGTGGGGAACTCTCCCTCTTGATTTTGACCAAAGCTAGGTGCATGCATCTGGATATTCTACACTTTACATGCTGCTGCTTCCTCTATTGAAATCAAGGCATCACTCAAGTATTTTAAATATCATCCCAGATTTGCACAAATATACCTAAATGGCTCTTTCCCCAAATTGCTGACAATTCCTTGAATTGTATTCTCAATTCAAGTTTATTATATATATATATATATATAAAACATTACATCAAAGTTAATTGATTATGTCGGACTCCTTGGTAGACCGAATGCTCCTGGAAGAAAATGGCTTTTCATTTTTCTCTCTCAAACATCTAGCCAGTACCAAGTTTGGCATGTTGCACTAAGAATACTATAGGTATTACAATACATACTTGAAAAATGAATGAATGAATTAGTAACTAGCCTAAAATAATCTTTTCACCAAACTAGCATTCTCCTTTTAGAAACAAGTAAACCACTATTATAAAAGCAATACATATTTACTAAAGAAAACCCAGGAAATACCAGTGAACTTTGTAAAAAGCTTTACCAAACATTGAAATACTCAGAAATATAGGTAACACTTTGGTGATAACCCTCAAAACTCCCCCTCCTCCTTCCATAAACATGGTAATGAATACTCTTGTACATTTACAAAATACAACTTTGCTCTTCTTTTCTTTTTTCTATGAATATATCCTTAGCATAAATTTCTGCAAGTAAAAGTGATGGGTCAATTGATTTTGATTTCTCTGTATTTTGACTTATATTGCCACCATTTCTGAATTCATTCAGCTCAGCTTCACTTCCTTCTCCCATATATATATATATATATATACACACACACACACACACACAGTCAACTGAGTTCTATTCATATCCCTCATTTCTATTCAGAGCCCTAATACTCAGGTCCAATCATAGCAGTAGTTAAGAGGACAGAGACTTCCTGGGTTACTAGCTTGGGGTGAGGGGTCTCAGTTTGTTCATCTGCACAATAGGGATAATAATAGTACTTACTTTATAAACATTGAGCGTTTAGAACAGTGCCTGGCTCTCAAATGTTAATTCTTACTAAGAATTGCTAAATATTTTGCCAGTTGGCTTTCCAAACTTCATTTTCTTTCTCTATCAAGCTGTTTTACATTGCCAACAGATCCATTCTAAATCTACCACTTCTATCACATCACAATTCTGCTCAGCATTTCCCCATTTTAAACATAAAAAGTGTAACTTGCTGAGCTTGCATAAGAATATTCTCCTCAAAACAACCAAGCTTACTGTTTAGCTTTCCTTCTAATTGTTTCCTTCACAAGAACCGTCTGCTTCAATGAAATGAATCCACTCATTGTCTCCTGAATATTTTGTGCTTTCTGCCTATTAAAATTATAAGCCTCAAACTGGAAGATGTATTTAAATAAAATTAAAAAAAGATAAAATAAAAATTAACTCCCCCTTAAATCCTTATTGACTTCCATAGGCTTGAAGTGACTGCTCCACTCCATGAATGTCTTTACTTGCTATAACATACATACGTTATTTTTTATATTCCCTCCTGAAATTATCAGATATCTTTTATGTCTACACATAGTACTTACAGACACATTTAAATAAAATGCCTTGCTAGTAGATATTGTGTCTCATTTGCACATGCTAAGTATTGGTTCACTTGATATATATATATTTTTAAAGATTTATTTTATTTATACAAGAGCCAGGGTACAGGCCAGAGGCACGGGAGGGTGAGAGGATTCACCAGAGACAGAGTGGTACAGAGTGGTGAATAGAACAGGCAGACTGATGAAATACACTGCTGAGGGGAGCAGCAGGCGAGACAGGAGAGGTCTGCTTGCCATGTGGGTTGCTCTGAGGTTGGCGGGGATCGAACTGGCACTGCAGAGGCTGCGGACAGCTTCACAGCACAGTGTTCAACTGCCTGTACCACCAGGGAGGCCCTGGTTCACTTGATATTTTTGTAGTTTCTTAAAGTTGTTATTCCAAACACCTTAATGAAAATATTTAATAAATTAGATTGCTATGACTCTTTCATTTTATACTATACTAACTCTAAGGAGCAATAGGTTAATGTACCGCTAAATTAGGTAAGATTGATTATTGTTATCATTAATATCTGCACACCTTTTGATTTCCAAAGGTAAGATGAATGTATACAAATGACCTACTGGGTCTAGAAAAAAAAATTTTTTATGTCCTTTTAAAAGATGTATATTTTGTGTAAGCTTTGTATCTGTTTAAACTACCTGTTCATCTTTTGTCTATTTTTCTATTTTTTTTATATAGGAGCTCTCTTTTTTAAAATCAAAGTAATGTTGGTTTACAACGTTGTTTTTTTTAGAGGTATAGGAGCACATCCTTCAGGTAGATGTTAGTATAGCACACCCACCACCAAAGCACCCAGATCCACCATCACAGTCCACTGGTTTCTCCGCTCCTTTCTGGTAGCCTCAGTTCTACATTCAGATTTTTAAGTTTTGTTATTAGTTTATAAGCTTTAAATCAGTATATATAATTTATAAATATAATGGAAGTGGAATTTTTCTTTAACTTATGATGTGCACAATTAAGCAAGTTTAGAATGACTGTCATGGAGTTATTTTCTGTGGACGCTGAATCTTAAGTGGATGGTATCACTAATTCTAGAAGAAATGATTATTCACATATTAATTCACTGGCACACTAAAAAATACTTACTGAAAATACAAAATGAGCTATGTTAGCTCCAGGTTTTACTATGCATTGAGATGCAGGGCAAGAAAAATTTATTAGTAACATTAAACACTTTTGCTTTAATGAAACAACACTGTATATACATAACCCTAATAAACCAATCCTTAATATAAAAACTAAGGAAAGGTGGAAAGGTATAATTGTTCTGCTATTATTCATTTGTTGCTATAAGTAAACATTAACTTTTTACTTGTTCTATAAATGTTGGTCTCTGAAATTCAAGGGCATAATTAGCTACACCATAAGAATGCCATGGATATGCTAATAAGGGAAAGTATGCAAAGGTAAGGAAAACTTGTTTCTATTACTGCTGTTATTGACCGTGGGAAAGCCTTTTTGCCTGTCTCTGTTTTCTCATTGTACAATGGGAGTTCTGGATGGTCTGTGGGTTCCAATATCCCTTTCAGTTTTAATATTCTGTGAACCGTATCAAATATAAATTATAAGAAAACACAGACTTGCTATTTTCTTTATAATATGCTAAAATATTTGTTCACATTATTTTTATGTCAGACTAGAAAATGTCTAAGCTGCTTGGGTAACTGTACAAAGAGGCAAAGATGGTTATTATTGTTCTTACAATGCTTGTGGCACCAAGAAGTTCATATGACTGTATTCTACATATAAGTACATGGTTATCCTATCTAAGGTTTCTAAATATAGAATGTGTATATATTAAAAAGATGTTCAAGCCAGTCACAAAAGGTCAAAAATTTTATGATTACACTTACATGAAGTACCTAGAGCAGTCAAATTCACTGAGACTGAAAGTATGGCTGTCAGTGGCTGAAGTGAGGGGAGAAAGAGGATATAGTATTTAATTGGTACAGTATCAGTTTTGCAAGACAGAGTTCTAGGGAATGGATGCACAATAATGTCAATGTTCTAATGCCATCAAACTGTACACTTAGTTACAGTGGTAAATTTTATATTATGTGTACCTTACCATCATTTTTCAAAGGTGTTGTAATGGGCAATTATATATATTTATATTTTAAAATGGCTATAA